GATGCAAGTGTTTGTCAACAAGTGTCTACAAAGAATTCTGAAATATGGTCGCCAAATCGAATACCAAATGAACGCCTGCTGAACCAAACCACTCAAAAAACAGCACAAAATGAAATAAAAATGAGAAAGTGGAAATGGAAGTGGAAGTGTATAGACTATACGCTTAGGCAACTGAGAAGCTACATAGTGAGGCAAGCGTTGGCATAAAACCACAAGGTAGCAGAAGACCTGTTACGCCAACGAAAACTTAAAGAAGTACGGTCGAAAGTGAGCTAGCTAAAGCACGATATACAATGAACGACGTCTACAGAGAAGCACCAAATAGAGTCAGATTTAGAATAATTATATATATTTTTTGAGACTCTATACCCCACTTGAGGAAGTGAGCATAATAATATAGTGCATTAAAGTATTACATAAGTAAGTATATTAAATATTTACATATTTTATATAATGTATAAAATGTGTAACGCAGTAACTATCTAACTAATTTCGACGAAATGTGTGGTAAATATAATTCTACGATAAAAAAAAATTTATATAGTATGATGAAAACAAATGTTAATTAAAGAACTTAAACTTAAATTTTTTAATAATTTTTATTTATTAAATTATTCAAAAAATTCTAAAAATAATTGGTTAATTATTTCTTGAACAACGTAATGAACGTTACGAAATTGAGAAAATATCTGAAATATTCAGACATTTTCAATATATGCCTTTTTCTATATTGCTTTCTCTTTCGTGCAAAAATACATAATAACCTGGAACCTATAGCATCAACACTTTTCGTTTGTACATTTCAAGCTCTTACTAAAATTAACGGTTTTTAGCTAAGTATATCTACTTAAGTTTTGTACTTTACTATTTATTAAAAAGTGTATCATATTTGTAATGGTTTTAAAACGTTTCACTTAATTTTAATTAAGAGGTTTTCGAAAAATAGTGAACTACAACAACAAAAATTCTTTTATATATTATTTCAATCAATTGTGTTTTTGGCTAATCATACCCATCATCAATGGTCTTGGAAATAATTCTTGTGTTTAATTATTCGTTAATAATTTTTTAAGATTGCAAGTACCAGGAATCGAGTTCGTGCTCTGCCAAATTTGAAGCTCAGAGTCAGCGCTCCTTAACCAACTGACCCAAAGCCGTACTTGATTTTTATGTTTGCACAATTTTCTGGAGTTTTCTTAATTTGCTGTGAAAGTTTTATTAACAAATTCACTTGCTGTGTTTATATTACAACAAAATCATAAACCAGCTGTTGAATAATTGAATTAATTAATCATATTTTTTTTTCAATTGTTAAATTTCAATAGTATTCTATATATTCTGTTTATACTATTCTGCATTATTTGTTGCATGATTTATATATTCTTTCTTATGTATAGAACATAATCTAGGAACGTAATACTGAGAAAGTCTTGCTAATGTTACTATACGATTCGCACGGGGGAGAACAATATTTTATAAATATAATTTTAATTTAATTTAATTTAATTTAAATCTCACTTAATTTTATTTTAAAATTCAACCTCTTCCTGATATCTTGCAAAGTCTAAAAAAAAGTATTGGTGCAAAAGGGTTTAGGTTTAATACGTTTTTTTAAGTCTTCAACTTTAATGCCAAGTTTTTCGGAGACTAAGCTATATTTATCTAAAGCATAATGGAAGAAGTTGCACAAAATAGCACTCTTTACTGAAGTCAATTACTAGTTAGACGTTCCTGAGAAATTAAAATCGTACGAATATTTTTTACAAAATTAATTTGAATTTAACAATTTAAATCAATTTTTAATCACATGAAATCTGTTACCAAATTTAAATATTAGCAAATATCTTCCTATCAACAATATAATGCATTAATTAGATTTCTTTAAGTACTTCCAAAAAAAACCCTTCTATTACTGATTACTTGAAAATATTTTTTGTTGACGTGAACAGCTGTATCAGGTTTAGTTTTTAATAAAATATTGTTCATTTGATTTAAAAAATATATTTGTTAGTTTAAAATTACATCCTCCAATTGATTCCAACTGTTGATAATTTTATTTTCGCAAAACATTTTTTTTTACTATTATTTTATATAACAATGAAGAAGTTAAGTAAGTTCTATTATTATGAATAATTATACAATTTTTTGGCCTTTATCAAATTACACTTTGCCATTGGTTGGCAAAGCATTAGTAGCCTTTCTCTATTTATTCCTCACATATCTAAGTTAATATTACTTTCTCCTTATTTGTTATCAATAAACAAATCCGTTTAGGTAGGAAAAATTAGATACAAATCTTGTGCTTCTAAAAACTCATTGTAGTTCGACAGTTTATATTCTATGTAAGTCGAGAAATATGGTTAGATTATAATTATCGGAAAGCAAAAATGATCTGTTTGCGGTTTAAAATGAAAATTTAAAACAAATTTATATAAAGTATAATATGATATTTAGAAACATAATATTACATGGGCTTAACTTATATTTCAAATCATGAAATTTGTGACAGTTCTACTTGAGTTTATTAAACTTATTAATTTAGAGAGTTTTAAATAGCAGTTAGTCTTATAGTACGACACATATATATATGGAACAATATTATCCAATTTTTTATATTTTCCAATTATTTTCATATGACTTATACTATAAATAAATGTACTCCCCAGGTTTGAATATTGCAACTGTCGATATTATTTAAAATATTTGCGCAAGGAATCAACACAAGGCTACTTCACTTACTGATTAACCTAAGGAGTTTCAGTTTCCTGATTGAATATAATCTGTATACTACGTGTGCCGTAAAATCTGGGATATATAAATACATAAGCGCGAATCAATAAAAGTAAATAAAACTAGACTACATGTATTATAAAACATTTTAAAATCATGTGAAATTTTTTTTTAATACTTTTATCTTGAATCAATAAAATTTGATTTCAAATTAAAAAATTTAGCGTTTTGAAGAATTTTAGTCAAATTGAAAAAATATCATACAATCGAAAAATATGCCTAAAAGTATGCATTGCACTCTGGTATTGTCTAACAAAATTCGTATTAAACATTGCAATACATCCCTTACACGGATCTGAAGAAAATTTTCTTCTCTGCAGCAGGACTCAACCTCACGTAGTGAGCTTTTATCACCCACCGTCTATGTTGATGTTTTAAGATTAAAGTCTAGATCGATAGAAATAAAAGTAACTAAAAATCATCGATATTTACTGCATTCCAACTTTAGTTGCCAACCACTGCAAATTCCAAATATCACTTACCTATTAAATAAGGACTTATTTGAATGTTTACTACTCTCTGTGGGTTTGAAGCCTACCGATTTACCAGGAGAGTATTTTATTGCAATTCAAAATGATTAACCTTACACCTAAATGATTATAAGTGAGAACTTGCTAGCCAGAGTACCAGCCAATATTTCAGCTACTCTGATGTCAATTTTAGTAAATTCGTAGCTACACGTCACATCGATTTAAAGTGTTAATATCCCGCTAAGTTCGAGGCACACCCTGAAGCTCATAAAACTATTTGAACTGCGAGACGGACCTTGTTGCAAGATATCTCCTATATATATATATCTTCTCTATATTGCCAGTCATCGTTACTATTTAATCAGCTGCTATAGCAATTTCTAAAGGTAGGATCATAGTCAAATGTTTCTAGTGACACACTGCCATTTATCAAAGAGCACAACCAACTTTACAGATCTTACATAGCTACCTTGAAGAGCGACATCCGAAAAATGGTGAACGACAATCATCGTTACAAAACGTGAGCACCACTTAAGTAATTGTCGTTCTCAAAATATTACCCTTTATTAAAGCAGTACAAATCACTATTCCTTACCCTATTCATTGTGCACAATAATATTATCGACTTTGTGTATAATAGCCTGAGATATACAAACAAAAATGCATTTTTTTTTGAACTGATACTTCGACAATATCACACTATTATTTTCAGATAATGTCTTCAATGTGATCAGCCAAGCCAAGGCTTTCAGACCACGTTTTAATACATATTTTAAGCACTTCCGATTCTTTGTATCATAGTCTTGACTCACATTCTACATATCTTACTTAACTTTCATATCATCCAAAACGTATAAAAGACTGGTAGCGGAGCATAAATCTTGTAGGTCCACCATTATACATCATACTGCCTGGACTAAAGAACTCTATAATTCTGCTCATTTTTAACTGTTAATCCAGATTCCTCACAACCCTTGAACTTGGGTGTCTTAGCTCAGCGCTATGCTTTCAGTTGAAAACCGTAGTACTGTGCTAAAAGCACTTACGATATCCTCTTGGGGCATGGATAAAGAAATTCTACTGTACACATACAAAGCAACAGGTCATTCTATTGTAGCCTGTGCTGCTTTAATATATAATATCCATATATGTCAACATTTCATTGTCAACTTGTGTCTAAGCAACATCTCTTTATATTCCATACAGATGGATAACACAATTGCATCATGATCGTTCAACAGATCTCTGCCTCAGCATTGTATACGTCGACACCTATTGTAATAGAGTTATCATCAGTAAGATAGAATATAAACGTAGCATAGCTCAACAAATGTTCTACTTATTTCCTTTCATGTTTTTTAATAAAAAGGATAACTCATCCGACCCTTTGCTGCATCGAACCAGCTAATTTATATATATACTATTAATTTTCTTATCTACATTTATCTAAACGTTTCATGATAGTCGAACAATTTCATTATAATTTTTATAACTACATTCACAAAAAACTTCTGATTAAATTGGTGCGAAACCTGAAAAGCACATTTACTTACTTTCGTCTTATGATTATACGGAATAAATTATGATTTCTAATACGATTCTTTCCATATTTCTTTTATTGGTTGTGATGTGAAGTATAAAGCAAAATACAATTTTAAAAATAAACTAAAGCTATAGTTGTAGAAATTTAGAATTTATATATAAATAATTCAAATATAATCAAAAAATACAAAAACCCTTTTATTGTAAATGTTTTTAGATATTGAGTATTCATTAAAAAAAATTTTTTATTATATTAAAAAATGTAGATACGTTCAATCCTTTGGAATAATTTCTGCCAAAATCTCTAGTTTTGTAGTAGCATCTAACAGATTAGAGTCAATGGGGCCGTTTAGAAAATCAGTCAAAGTCATACGTTTGAAATCAATCAAACTTAATAACATATTTATAATAAATTGATTTTTGTAAGAAATATTTGCATCTATAGAAGTACATTCAGAATTTATATCTTGATACGCTTCAGTATTACCACCTTTGCTATTTATAGATCCATATTCTGAATTCTTTATATCATCTTTGGATCCTTCAGAGATACTTGCAATTTTTTTAGAATCATTTTCAGAAATTTTTAAATCTCTTTCTAAAATTTTTATATCAATCTCAGAATATTTTAAATCCTTCTCCAATTCTTCAGGAGTATCGACAGTACTTTTTAAATCATCTTTTGGAATTTTCACATCATTCTTAGATTCTTTAGAATTATCTTTGAGATTTTTAGGATCACTGTTTAGTTTCTTGGATTTTTCTTCTGGTTTTTTATAAATATATTTGGCAATTTTAGGAGAACCTTCGATAACTTTAGAGTTATCTTCGGAATATTTAGAAATATCTTCGGAAATTTTAGAAGTATCTTCGGTAAATTTAGAGATATCTTCGGTAATTTTGGAATTATCTTCGGTTGTTTTAGAAATATCTTCAGTAAATTTAGAATTACTTTCGCTGATTTTAAAAATCTCTATTTCACATTTTGTATCAAACCACAATTTTTGATTTTTCCCGTTGAAATTCTTTTTTATATAAGATTGTATCATTTCAAAAGAATGTCTTACATTGTTAATAGCAAACATTTTTATAAAATCAATAAAACAAGCTGGATTCATATCGTATATCAAAGAACAATATATATCATTTTTTTCCCTTTTGACGTATCTAAACCATTCCTAAAAATCAAATAAAATATAAATTTAGGAGTTTGTTTTTTGAAATAGTGCACTTACATTCTTTTTACGATGATACATATCAATCAGATTTTTATTACGTACTTTGGTTGCGAATTCATAGAAATTAGCGATATCTCTCAAAGATACTTCGCTTTCAATTTCGTCCATCACAGTTAAGCATATACTAGCTAGATCATTGATCTTAAAACGCTCTCCAAGGTGAACCAATTCTTTAAGAACATGAAGAGGGTACCTACGTAATTCTTCTTTGTTTTCGAAATAAATGAAATCAACGAACGGCTGAACAGTGTTTGCATCCACATAGTTCAAATGAACTTCAACATCGGTTAAGCCTTCATTATCAAATATACATTTAAAGACATCAGAACAATTTGACAATATAACTTGATGACAGCGTAAAAACTCTAATGAGTTCGGACAACCTGCAGAAAGGGTGCAGTCCGTAGGAATGCCTTCACATAAAGCATTTATTTTTTCTTTTTCACTGCAATTCAAAATTATTTATTATCTAAAAATACATTTTATATACACATTAATATTAAATTATACTTACGTTAAACTGTGCCATTTATGTATTTTTATGCAATCCATTTTATTTAGCCAAAAACGAAGTTCTGAAATATTTCTTAATTGGAAAAAAATTGTATATCACAAAGGTGAGTAATTTAAGTATAACTGTGGAAGTTCCAAGCTTTCAAAATTCAAAATAACCGAACTATAATAATATATGTCGAGATAGCGTAGCCACCCACTGCAATTAAAATGACATCAAGTATATTTTACTTTATAGTTTTGAAAAATTCATTCTGCCAATAATTAATTTTTACTACATTCACTAAATGTTTCAAATTATAGATCAATGCTGGTCATTTCGATTTATAACAATTAGTAAAAATAACATATCTAATTTAAAGGAAACAATGAAAGGGAATCATAAATCCTACAAATCTGGTGGAAATGCAAAAACGTCTTTGAAATTAAAAGACTTCTAAAGTAAAGTTTGCTTATAAAGATCCTTTTTTATAAAAGTGGTCTTCAATTTAGTTATAACTATCTTAGGGCGAAACTGTCTGAAATTGTAACTTTCAAGAGCTTAAACAATATAACAAATGCTGAATGCTTTTTCTTTACACGGACCTGAAGAAGAGTTTCTTTTCTGACTAAACGTCTTAAAATAATTTTTATCAGCCACCGGCTAATGACGAATATTTGGATATCTTAAGATTAAAACTCTTAATAAATAGAAATAAAAGCAACTAGAAATCATTAATATTTACAACATTTCAACTTTAGTTGTCAACCGCTGCAAATCCCAAATATCCCTTACCCATTAAATGAGGACCAATTTAAATATTTACTCTATGTAAATATTTACTTACATCAAATTATTATAAGTGAGAACTTGCTCTAACCAGAGTAATACCCAATATTTAACCCAATCTGATGCCAACTTTGATAGAAGTTTGGCTTGTCTGTATAACTTGACCCTTAGCGGTAAAAACATTAGCTTTTATGAATTTCAATATTTTTATGTTATTGTTGAATTGATTAGATCGGAAAGAATGAATAAATAATTATAACAAGAAAAGTATGAATTAGCTCTTTGTTTAAAACTAATTTATTATAAAATGTTTATAATTTTTGTTCTTCAATTTCAATTTCAGAGCGTTTAATGTATGGAAAAATCTAATTCTAATTTTTGGACGTTTTACTTGCAAGGAAATTGCAAAAATTAATTAAAATTAAAGAAAAATTTGTTTTTCGTTTTAATTAGTTATTTTTATTCAAATTTCTTCAATTAATATTCTGTTAAAAAAATTTTAAATTGAAATTCAATTTAAATTTTCTGCAAAACTTTACAATTATAAGATATTACAATCAGCGAGTGTTTTACGGAAAACCGTAAAAATCATCATACCTGATACCTCATACCTGATACAAAAACAAGAACACATACAATTTTTCTACTTTTCTAAGTTACAGACCATATCTAAATAACTCTAATTTTAAATAATTAAACGAAATTTAATGTTTATATTTACAACAATTTTAAATAAATTTAATGGATAATAATTTAATAATATATATCATTAAAGTAATTTAAATAATTTAAAATAATTAAATAGAAGCTTACCTTTCGTAACACTAAAATATATCTCTGGATTCTAAAAAAAAAAACAATAAATTATTCAACAATAGTTTTTAAAACTTTATATAATATAATATATATAAATAATTCATAATATATTGATTATTTATTTATGAACTTAGACATACATATAGTTTTTTATGAACGTTTTAATTGTTTCTATTTATGTATATTTCATATATAGAAAACTGTTACTAAGTCGCTTATATAGAAGGTATTAAAATGATAGATGCCTGCTTGATAATTTTATCTATAAATCAATTTATTATTAAAGCAATAAATACTTATTAATAAAGTGTTTTAAAACTTTTTAGTTGGTTTTTTAAGTTTATTTTTATTTTATATAGTTATTATCTTAATAATCTATACATTATTTAAAATAAACTGCGAAACCAAGATTTTTGTATAGATTAAAACTGTTTGAAACAAATTAAAAACTAAAACCAGTTGACATTTATTAATTTTAAGCACATAATCCTTTAATAAAATATTTATAAGAAATTAAATATGTTTAAAATATCAAAATTTCTTAACACACCAAAACTGCCACAATAAAACAGGAAAATTAAAATGACAAAAGCAATAACAATGTTAACTGTTTAAATTCGTCGACTGTGCTTATTATCGATAACTTCACTGAGGTGAATATAAAAAGTTGTGAAAACAGTATAAAAGATATTTTTGTAGAGAACGAAAAATGGCATTTGTGTAGAGAAATTTTCTAATAAGCTACACAAACGCACCACCAGTTGACAAAACTAATTTTCTATTTTCTTCAACAAATTACTTATTATTATTATCCGTTCAAATCCTTTATTTTTAATAATTTTTTTTTTTTTGTTATATTATGAAATTCTAAATCATTTATAAAAATTACTTTTTGCTTTTATTTTTAACTTGTAGGCATTTTTAAGAACCATTCAATCACACTTACGATAAAATACTGTTTTAAATTTTAATTAGAATAAAATGGCAACATTGCAAAAAATACGGAACCACAAAAAACGCATCTCAATGCATGTAAAAAAGTCGTAACGGTTAGCTCTGCTAAAAAAAGAGAAAAAAATTTTTTCCCAAATAATTCATTTTAAATCAATCAAATACTTTAAATATATTTTCCACTTCACTTACTTTTAGTTTTTAAATTTCTTATTACAGTATTTCACAGTTTTATTATATTTAACATCAATATAATATCAATATATATTTATTTTTGCGTTTATTTATATTATAACGCTATATTCCACAAATCGATTTAAAATTGCTTTTCACTTATATCACAATACTATTTCGAACTCGATCAAATATAATTTATAGTAACTTTAAAAATAAAATATTTCCAAAAAAAGTGAAATTACAGTAAATAATAACTTAAATTAAAATTACTACTCCGTTAACACTTGCTGGTGCATTTGATGCAGCAATCAATAGAACTAATCGAAGAAGAGTGAAAAGAAAGTCTCAATAATAACAAATCATATATAAAATCGCTGTAGAGCTTTAAGTGTTGTTCTGACTTCTGAAGTTACAGTTTTTATTTACAGCTTTTGAAGTCATTAATAAGAGAAACTGCTCTTATCTGTATTGGAATACTGTTATATTTGCAATACACATATAAAGCAGTGTTTGATTACTTACGTTGTTCACTGTAAGTACTGCTGTAAGTAAGTAATACCCCCTTATGTGTTCAATTCATATTGAAAATACTGTTCAAGTACTTATGACCCTCTGCATAAATAAATAATAAGTGAATAATTGAATATAATGCGCAAATTTCTTGTTTATATCAACCTACGAATAAAAATATAGAACTGCAATCATTTAATTATTTGATGTGAATCTATCTGTTAAGTAAAGTGACAAAAAAATAGTTATTTATATTCGCAAACAATTTGAAAACATTAATTTATATAATTCCCTTTGTTGTTAGCGAAAATGATTAAGTAAATCATATACCAAAAATAATTCTATTAAATTGTAATCGCAAATTATTTTAATAATGAAAAGAAATAAGTAAGGTAAAATAGTATATCGACACAATTTTTTTATAAAAACATATAAAAAAGAAAATTTTTTATCATTACATTTTATTCAAAATACACCCAATAAAAATTATTTATATATTATACATTTTTTTTTTTTTTTTTTGATATTTTTACAGACATATACTTATAATATTTGTTTACATTTAAGACAAAATATTTAAAGAAAACCATATTATTTGTTTCTCTTTTTCAAAATATATTTATCACAGTTATATGAACAATCCAAAACACATATTGACATCAAATATAGTTTAATGCTCTTACATTTAATATTATTAAAAACTATATCAAATTTTACAATTTATTAAAAGTAAATTTGGTCAAATTAAAGTAAAAATATAATATTTTTAACAATAAAAATTAATAACAGATATAATACTAAATAAAAATAATTGCACAAGTGTCAGTGTTTGACATCAAATATTAAAGTTTGCAATATTTTTATTAAAATGTTTGTTGTTACTTGTTAAATATTAAAGGAGATTGTCTAACTTAAGTTATAAAAAAATGATTAGTTTACGTATGTATATATAAACAAGTTAGATACAGAAATTATTATCGATATGTTATATTTAGAATTAATCTTAATATTTTTTAATTTGAGTTATAATAAAAAGTGAAATTAAAATTTTAATTTTTAAAAATATAACACATATAAAGCTCACTAGGTGTGATAAGCTTCTCATTGCTTATGATAACTCAAATCCAGTATTACTACTAATAGCATATCTAAGTTTATCACGCAGTGTAGATTTTTTTTGATAATTTGGCAACTTTAACAGATTGAAACATGTCGATGAAGTAGGTAACCGATTAAGTGGATCTTTTTTACGTATAGTAAAAAACCCACGTATTACACTACCAATCGTATCACCCATATCTTCATCATCTCCAACTTCAACACAACGTATTGAAAACGGTGGTTCAAGATGCGCAAAGCCAAGCAACGGTGGTTTTGAACAACTAGTAACAAACTGAAACAAAAATTTATTTAATATGTTAAATTTTATGTTGAATTGCATAAATAAATTACTTTTAAAAAAAGCTTACGCTCCTCTTCAGAAAAATCTTTGGCTAAAATATCCCATAACCATCCAACAACACGATGAGAGTCATGAAATCCTAAAAAACAAAAATTAATTAATTTATTTATTAATTACATTTATTAATTAATATTGAATTATTATTATTTAATAAATTATATGATTTAAAAAATTTAATAATGTAAGTAACTAATGCGCTGTTGTACATATGCATATGCACAAATACTTATTACATTCATATATAAAGTATGCATAACCTAACTATATACGAGTGTTATGGCCACCGTAGACTGCACAGAAACTTGAAGATTTTTAAATCATATCATAGCAGCATAAAATAGAAATATCCGAAGTAGTTGAGTTAAGTTAACTATTAATTTTCTAAAAATTTTCAACTAAATCTTATTAGCGATACCACTTAAACGGAATAGTGATTTATAAAAATATTGTTTTTAATATATAATTTTAAATTATAGTTTTTTGTTTAATAAATAAAAAAATTAAATGTGTAAATGTTTGTAAAAGTTGGTTACTAACTTAAACTATTATGCTTACCTCCATAATATTGTGTATGTTTTCGTAAATCTCGTAAATCTAAAGGTGCTGTGTCACCGGAAATAAGTCTCTGCAATTCAGGTGGTGAGAAAAGTGATAGCCACTCTGGATTAACTATACTACGAAAACCACGATTAAATGCTTGTGTCTGTTCTCGAATTTGCGTGTTCATATGAAAATAAGCCATGTAATGTATATAGACAAGCTTATTATGATCAGTTACTGCACGAGCTTTACCACCTGGATGTAATTCATGTGTTACAATTTTTCCCATTACATCCTGATCAACTGAGAATGTCAAATTTAAATCCGAAACATCTTGCTTATAGTGTTTTATAAATGTTAAACTGCGATACAGCTCGTTATCTAATGATGGCAATTCATCCATGCATGAATATAATGCTTGATGCGTTTGTCCCAATAATTGTGACAAAAAGAATGAAGCAAACGGTACATCCACAACAATACCCTCGTAAACTGCTTTTCCTAACATTCGACCAACAAATTCAAATAATTGCAAATGATTATCTTGTACATAGGATATTGGTGAAGGATATAAGCGTTCATCTGAGGTAATTTTAAATAGATTTAATGATGGGTCAAACACTTTTTTTATTGTTTCCTCAAGAAATTCCTTAAAAACTCCATCTTGATCGATACCTGCCTCATGTAGACCTTGTTGATTTATGAAACGAACACGTATCACACCCTGAAAACAAAAAAAAATTTATATAATTCAAAATATGTATTAATAATATGTAAAAATAAGTAAAAAAGAAAAGGGTTTCATTATGAGGAACCTATATTAATTAATTATATTATAAAAAATACATATACAATATTTTATAAGAGTATTTATTAATATACTTAAAAAATACAAATGCATTGTAATTTTATTTAACAAAATTCAAATTAGATATATTTATTACTATTAATATGGCAGGCTCTAACGAAGAACGTCTTAGGAGAAACTACATAGGCATTAGGCTCATTGTATGACGACTCGTAGGCATTTCTTAATAAAAATAAAATAGCAACGGAAAATTTAAGCAACAAAGTTTAATATATAAAACTAACATAAAGTAGCTAAAGTTTGCTGTACAATACTTAATTTTCAATATTTTTAATGGAGACAAGGCTGTTATGACTATAAAATTATAGACCATGAATTTGAAAAGAATATTGCCACAAAAAAAAAGGAAAATAAAACTATTTATTCACCCAAGCAAGTGTTACCTTAATGATAACGTCTCACATATAAGCGCATTAAAAATAAACAGCTAAATTAGAAAGCTACTCTATGGCAGAGATATGCAAAACGGCGAGTGACCATGTTAAAAAAAAAGCTCACTCTTAGCTCTAATTTTGAATACTAATGTTAATAAAATTAAAATCAATTATTACCTTTAAAGAATGTGGTCTTAATAAAGCCAATTGTCTATATCCGTCCTCAACAATGCGTTCTCTATGTATAACTATTAATGCTGATCGTGGTGAAGCACAAGCACTTTCTGTTAAACCCATAACGGCTTTTTCATTTTGCACAAATTTTCGAAACAATTTAACACGATCTTCATGTGGTATTATATGTGGCATTTTTTGTAATAATATTACGGCATGTCTTTTCGCCTTCTCTAAATCATTTATGAAAGTAGATGGTTTTACTTCCTGTATTAACCAATGATTAGTTGGAGTAAAAGATCGTCTCGAATCTCGGCGATATAAACATAGAAGCAATGTATGTAATGATATAAATATGGGACATTGAGTAACACTTTTTGTTCCTAAAAATATTTAGTTTATTAAAATACAAAATACAAAAAATAAAAAACAAATTTGATATATTCAGAATTCTTACCCAATACGTTGTCATTAATTAAGCGATACAATAGATTATTTAAAAAATATGTTAACATAACATAGTCGTTGAGTAAAAATGGTTTTTGTTCGGTGTACATTTCATATTCGTCCAAAATACTATAAAAAAGAAAAATTAAAATATTTTTATATATATTTTTATTGTGTTTATACCATATTACAAGTTATATATTGAGTATCATTAAACAAATAATGAAAATAAGAACAAAAATATATATAAAAATATATATTTATTAATTACAAGTTTTGTTTAAGTACCAAATAAAACTATATTTATTATATAATTTATTTATATTTCTTTAGTTTTAATATTATTATACTTCAAAAATTAAGTATATTTTTTTATAACAGCTTATTATTTAATAAATTTAATAAAATAATAACTTATTTAATATCAATTGTAATATATAACATATTAAAGTTAACGTGCATTTGAAGAAACTAAAAAATAACCCACGAAATGTTCTCGGTCAGGAATTAAACGATGTCATATTTAAATCAATTTATGCTTATATTTTATATAGTTTTTTTTCTAACTTTTTGAAATCATATTGATGATTTTTAAATATAATAGATTAATTGAAAACTTTAGCCTAAAAATATTTAATTAAAGGAATAGATATACAAGACACTAACCCAAACAAATTCAAATTGCCTGATACTTATTTTAATACAATTTAAAATCAAGCAAATTTTTTTTATTTTCGAATGAATATAATCCTTAGCGTCATCAGATAAAAATATATATTTGTTTCACACATATTTTAGTTAGCAGTTGCAATTATAAAGTTTACTGTATTCTTTTATTTATTTATTTCGTTGTGAGCTAACATTAAAATTAATTAAACTTTAAACGAAAAATGCATTAAAGTTAGCCAAACACTTACGTTACATAATGTGTCATACTGTCACAGAACAACATTAGCATTGCAGTTTGTGGTTTCTGTATTGCACCTTCGCATTTAAACATTTCCAAAAAGTCTTTCATACCACAATTGGGACCCAATGAAGTTAATAATAGCCATAAATCGTATATAATGTTATCATTGTAACATATGCCTAAAAATAATTTATTTATTTAATATATTCTATTTTGATCATTTTATCATCATGTAATTACCAGTTAATATATCTAGTTTCATTTGAGATAATGTATTTAAGGCAGCATAAAAAGTAGCACATATGCGTGATACATGTATGACTTCGTTACTATCAATTTTGCGCCATTGTTTATTATTTTTGCTTGCATTTCCACGAGATGAGTTGCGTTCCAGTGCACGACGTATTAAATTGCTGGTGGATGCTTGACTAGGCGGTAAAAATTCTATACGTTCAAAATTTGTATTGACTTCTTTTAGTAAATCTCCAAGTAATATTTTAATACACTTATGGCCCCACAACATGGAAAATTGTTTTTTTATTAAATGAACATTTTGATTTTGTGCTGAGTCCAATGATGGTGTATGCCAGCCAAGTAATTCATGCCACTGTGTAAATACTCCCTTAGTGGTCACTGTATTCGGTATGTTTTCCAATAAAGTGGTAGCCGTATTCTAAGTATTAAGTAATATCGAAATTCATTAACATTAATTAACAACTAATAATATATTTCTTACTGTTAATAATGGGAATGCTAACAGTTTTGCTTCCATGGAATTCTCAATATTAAATAAGTTGACAATATTCCCAAGGAATGCTAAAGCTTTTGTACCCTTTAAAAATCAATGTTAATTAAATTTAAATTTAATCATTTTAAAAGTATTCTTACTGGCATATTGTCACCAAAATCTTTGAACCAATTCAAGTCATCTGATAGCGATGTCAATGCACGCTTTAAAATCCACATGGAGGACATTTGTTCAATGCATTGAGGTGCGTTGGCATTTAAGTGATAGATTAAAGCTGGCACAGACAATATTTCTGTAAGAAATTGTGCGAATAAATTGCGACTGAAGTCTCCATCTATGAGTGGACGTGTACACAAAGTGATTATAGCTTGAAGTGATACTGGCTTCAATGTTAGATCTTCACGCGCTGTGCCTTTTATTAACACTGACTAAATAAAAAATTTAATACTTTATTTTAATATATGATTAATACAATAATATATGATACTAAATGACGCACTGCTTAGTATTTAAATTTATATTTGATTTAAAATTTAAGTTTATTTTATTTATTATTTATTCTATCTAAAATTTAAATATTAATATTAAAAAACAATTCATTTATTCAATTACATATTTTTCAACATTTTGAAAGACTGAAATTACCGTCTACAAATGTAATTTAATTATAAACAAATGTATTATATTGTAATGTATTATATTTTAAAATTGATTAAAAATAACCTTTAAATATATTATGATATGTTACAAAATACTTACTCGCATAATTCTAAAGAAACCATTTTGTACCAAATATCCTTGAATATTGCAGCAAATTTTTTGCATTGCCTGTTGAAGTTTTTCAAATTGTTTGTGGCGTAAAATGCCCCAAGATTTCGGAGACGTGAAAACAACCAAAGTATGTAAATATAGAGCTAAGGATATGCTATCTGTATGATTTTCTATAATATTAAAAAGGTTAAGTGTTTCTACATATAAATTCTTAATAATTGCATGTCCAATGTCTATACCTGGTTTTATATCTTCCAAATAATGTAGTGCAATATTTAGAAAAATTTTTATATGTGCAATCCATGGTAAGCTGCAGAGATTAACATCAAATTACAACAAAATACAAAAGGAATATTTTTGCCTTGTTACCTCTTGTCCTTTTGTAGACAAAGCGTAGCATATGAATTTTTTGGAGTGTCAGCTTCCATTGATTTTACTAAATATCTACATAGCTGCTCATAGCGATCACGCAGTTTTTCACCATCTTCTGTTAGTTTATAAAAATTTGTTAAAAATCGTTTTACCAGAACATAAACATTAGTTGCTGAGAAAAACTCAAAATTCTTATCGTCTACATTGCATACGACCACTGAATCAAAATCATTGCTGAAATATATGAAAAGTTTAAAAATGTAAATTAACATACAATTTTGTTAAACCTACATTATCCTTCTATAGTAACGCCTACGTGCTACGAAGCCTTTTAAACTTGCCTGTATACGAACAGCCGCCCACTCTCGTCTTTTTTCCAGCAAGCGTTCCTCTCTAGCAGCTTTGTTTTGCTCCAAAAACGTGGATTTTTGCGATTCACCATGAGTAAACATTGTATTTAATATTATTAATTTAATACAACTATTATGCAAAGTGTATAATTTTTTTCTATTATAAATTGTCCTACGCAAATGATACAAAAACCACTAAGAACAAAGGAGCACACACAAAACCTAATTTGCGTGTATAACGCCTAAAATGTTACAAAACAATGTTAATTCTGCTCATTTTCGTTTATATATTCCAGCACTCAGTAATATTTATTTTTCTGTAGCAATTCACATTTTTACTTATTTTCATTTTGTCTTGTAAACATACATACATCGGTATTAAAGATTTTTCCCTGATAGCATCAGATGACAAATAAATGTTTGCGCCGCTTTCCACTTTTTACAGGCGTCAAAAATATAAATCAAGCTACCATACTTATATTATCATTAAAACTTATTTGATGCATTTATCGGGTTTTTGCTCTATCAAGAAATTAATATATTATCATGAAATATAAATAAACTTAATACTGTGCAATATTTACATTTAAAATTATGAAACCCAGTTACAGTTTAGAACTCGGTAGTCAATAAAGCGATAAAATCACAAATATCTTAGAATCTATTTTCAATTTTTCTCACTAAATACGTAAAATTAAAATATTTGATAATATAATCACTTATTAAATATATCAATTCTATTTACAATATATATCCATTTGTTTTTATTTTCAAATTTAAATATACAGAATCAGCTGATGCCTGAAACATAATCAAACCTGATATCTCTGTATTTCGGTAAAGATGTAGTATTACATAAACAAATATCCATATAGTTTGATCATTTCACTGCGGAGCCCAGCACGTTTAAAAAACATTATATATTCAACTTATTAAAAATTTGTTAATTTTAACTGAAATTAAAATTATTTAAAGTTTGCGACTTTTAATAATAATAAATATGAAATACAATCACTTAATATAATGTATACACCGAAACAAAAATTTTAAATCACAAATTACTATAAAATATTATTCCACTGTTAACATTCTGCAATATTATCATATTAATTAATATATTATTAATAAAACATTAATAACAGTAACTTGCTTACACTGACAGTTCCGGAACCTTAATAGGACATTGTTATATGAATTTCGTCTGAAATTGCAACTTACTGCTATATATTTGTCAATTTAACTGTGATAGTATTATAACAAGTCGTAATATTGATATTGCTTTTAACTGACATTTTTAAATATTATGTTGTAAAACTTTTTTATTTTTATGAGTATATTATACAGATGCTATATAAAACGTTACAGACAATATAAAACGTTACATTTGTCGTTTCTGATGCTGTTATTGTGAAATATTTATTTTATATCAATTTTTCTTCATATATTATCGTTTTGAGTGTTGTTAGTTTTGTCTTTTGCTAATTCCACTAAATATCTATATATGTAAATTAAGTAAAACAATAGGTGCTTTCGGCAGCTTTATAGTGTGGCAAAAAACAGCAAATTGGTCTCTTAAAGTTGTTAAAATGAGCGCAAAACAACAACACTTCTTTCTTTATCTAAGCACCTAGTTGTGAACTGGCTAAACATTTTAATGACTCTAGAAAAAAATCATAACAAAGTAAAAAGCGATTATATTTATTCTATATTTAAAAAGCATTTTAAATTTTTAACACTGTGTCATTTAAGCGGTTTTGCTCGTTATAGCCACTAATATATAAGCGCATTATCAATAAATCAGCTCATTTAAGCCGAAAAATATCGAATGCAACCCTTAAAAATAAATTTCCCACTAAGGAAATTACCAAAATTTGAAATATCTCATATCTTTCATATATCATATGTAAACAAACAACAACTGAGCTGTAAACAAAGGTACTTAGAAAGTAGGTATTTCATGAAATCCTTGTTTTTATTAAATGAGTATGTAATTGATATATATGTATGTAAAATGCATTTAAATGATTTAATATATGAATTATATATACAATTTTTTTAGTGTGGTATATTATTAAGTAAACTTTATAAAAGTTCTATTAGCTGCATAAGTGTGCTTATTATGATGTGAACGTTCACTCATAAATAGAAATTTGCAAGTGCCTAAATGAAATAATGTGAATGTAGTATTAGTTGTTAACAAGTTTTTACTTTTTGAGGCATAAGTATTCTAAACTATTATTAATTTTGTTGTAAGAGAAAATTTCAAAATTTTCTGCATTCTGAACATTGCTTTTCGTTCATTTTTTGTTTTAATTTTGAATTTTATATTAATTATTTATTTATTCACAAAATGTAGTTTGGTTGCATTATGTGCACGTATGTAAGATTTGCTATTTGCGAATATATGACATTAGACAGATTAATATAGCAAGTAACTTGGTGGTTTTTGCCACATTTTGGAACTGCCGAATGCACCTCATAACAAATAAAAACTTAAATCAAACGATTTTGATATCATATTTTATAATTGTTTAAACATTTTATTCAATTATTATTCCCTATATCGATGAGCAAATATTTCGTTAAAAAAAAAAATACACGAATTTCTAAATTTTTTTACAAAGTAATTTTTTTATTTTTAAAAAAATACATTTTAGTATTTTAGTACTGAAGTATTATAAAATATATTTCTAAATATTCAGTGCAGCCAACATCAGCATCTTGCGTTTTAGATTTGGTAGCACTATATATTTACACACACAACTGAAGAACAACTTTCTACAAGATGAGAATACAATATCTAGAAAAAAAGATTTGGAAGAGGGATTATTATAACATTATTACTCATAAATAATTAAATTAATTTACTAGTTTACAAAATCAAATTAAGTGGTTATAACAATTATAATTATATACATAAATGTATCAATAGGGCGTTTGCAATTCGTGAAGTGTTGCTGAAAAAATCGAAACCAAGAAAAAAAGTTTTGCAATCAACAATATTAATTTATTTGCGTGTTTAATATATTTTTGTTCGTTTTGTTTAAAATAAAGTAGAAGTTATAATAATTAATATAAAAAACGAGTAATGCAGTAAAATACAAAATTTCAAGGTTTCTGAATGCTGCGCTAAAATTTCGGGTCACAACAAAATACAACAACAAAAACGTGTGATTTTGCAAAGAAAGGCAATAAAAGTAGAACAATTTTTGGGACAAAAGAAAATGAAAAACAAGTTCATAATTAAATAAAAAAAAACATATTAATGACTAACAACGAAATATCCTTCACATTATAAAATAAATAAATTTACTCGTAAAACCTTATATATATATATACCATTATAAATAATAATAGAAAATTAATAGAAAATGTTTAGAAGAAGAAAGTCGAAAGTATAAAGCAAATAAAAAATTAACGGGACACTCGGAATCCATTTCAAATGTCCTATAATTTGATGTTGACAACAACAACAACTGTTAAAAAGGCGCACAAATATCAGAAAGAAGAAGAAATTGGCGCACTTGAACTCCATTTTAAATAAATAGTGGAGGGTGAATCAATTTAAACTGCGGCTGTAATTTAATTATAATAAAAAGTTTTTATTTTACACTGAAATGAAATAATTTAGAAATAAAAAATCGTCTGAAATATGTTGATGCGTTGATTTGCACATCATTGGCTGAGTTATAAATAATTAAGATAAATAAATACATTTAATAAATAGTTGCAGTAAACCTTTCCAAACAAGTGAGTTAATATAATTTTATTATTTTTTTTTTTTGTAATGTAATAAAAATGTCCATCTTGTGCCGTTTTAAATAACTGTAAATATTAAATTTTATTGTCCAAATCCGTTAAGAATTAGCTTTTATGTTAGAATATTTATCGAATTATATTTAATATGTAATAAATTAATGGTATTTCTTTAATTATATAATAACGTGTACAAAATTTCTAAATTAGTTAAATTAATACACGAAACAAGAAATATTCTAGTACCTCTAATTTGACCTGTAACTCTAACTTTAAAATCTAATAAAAATGTAATTAAATACTTAAAAATGATCTGATAAAATGCAGTACCAAAATATTCACACTGGGTTTATATTCGACAGTATACGCAATTATGATAGAAATTCTCTCTATAAATGTTGTTATAAAAGTATAATATCACATCTAAGAGTAGGTAAAGTGAACTGGTCGGTAAAGTCTCCATTAGAAGATAGTACGCCCTAAGCATTACTAGTTTATTAAAATGTAAGTAGTTAAATATTAATCTAGTTTTATAAAAATAAAATATGCAACAAAATAATGAGCTATACAAAAATGTACAGGATCCTGTTATGAAAAGTATACAGCTCGTTCATAGAGACTTCGTGAGAAAGTATTTGACACTCTTCAAAAATATGAGCAACAGTCTGCCTGGGTGGCTAACTTTCGATTGCTTTCTTAAATCCATTTTGTCATTGCTACATTTGTTATTGGTCCGTAATGTGGGCAATCTAATATAATTAGACCGTGCTTGGATATCAAGTAATAATAGTAGCAGACTATATTATTTATTTAAAAGTCCATAATAAATTTAAACAATTGTAAATAATTAAAAATAAAATTTATATATCTCCAGTTCCTCTACTCTTTCATATGGCAAGTTATTTATGCATAATTGTTTCTGTACCAATTTTACTTCAGGCGTCTTTATTAAGTATTATTTTACTCTAATTGTATATAAAATTGCTATTATTTTACTGGGCGGCTATACTGGCTAGGCTTAAGGAATATGTTCGAATGCAAGAATATATTATATTCGAATTTTGTAAATTTAAAAATGTGTTTGTTTCATTAAAAAAGCTATAGTATGTGTAAAAATCTTGCAAAAGTCTTCCCAGTGAAGAAACCGGATTAGTTCGGTCTCTCTATTTTCCGATTAAATTTTATGATACAACTTTTTCATGAGGCTACTGTTGATTATTCTTACAACGAGTATTTCTATAGTTTTCTACAGCTTATATATACACCAGAAGTGTATACAGCGTATCCTATATACATCATTTATTATTTATAAATAAAAAAAAAATAATAATATTTATACAAGTATGTATGCATGACAGTTTTTCAAATATTAATCGAACACTTTAAAACTTTGTGCTTTTTTATATTTGAATGCCCTTGTTCAGAAGCGCATTGAGCTACTCGAATAATTCGAATTAATTATACGTTTTCGAGGAACTTTTATATATTCGAACACTTGTAGTGTTTAATCCAAATGTTTAAATTCGATTACGTGAAGACTTTGAAGATTTTGAAACTGCACGGTATGCTCATTTGATAATGGCTTTTTAAGAATCCAGATAAATTAATGCGATAAATGTACAAAATTAATTGACTGAATCCGAAAATAGTATACAGATGTATGTATGTTGAATTAACTTGCAACAGGAATTTTTTTGTGAGTAATAAGTGATTTGGATTGTGGTAATCCTGGTATATTATCCCAGTAATCCTTTTTGTTCTGGTTCTCATTTATTTTTATAAGAAAAAGGAGGATGCTATGTTCTTATCCACACAAAGGTTCTGGCCACGCCATCGGTGTGGCTGCTCCTTTTCTGGCTAGTTTGTCCGCGTATTCGTTTCCGCATATGTCCCGGTACCTAAAGAATCGACTCCTAATTTGATTCGCTAAGCAGATTTAGCTTATCAAGGCATTTTTGCACCAGTTTTGAAGTTATATGATAAGAATTTAGTGCCTTGATCGCCGATTCACTATCTGTCAGTATTACCATATTTTTTCCCTAGTAATTCCATTCAATATTAATTAGTACGCACTTATATATTGCGTAAATTTCCGTTTGGAAAATGCTAGTATTTTTCCTAGCGCTTCCCAATGCTTCCTGCCTGTTTCAACTATGCCTACTCCAGACCAGTCTTATAGTTGACTTAAATCTAGTAGAAAGTAAATTCCTTACATATGTATTTAATATGGCATGGGATAAGTTGCTTTTCTCGATTTAATATAGCTGCTATTGGGTCTTCCTTCAATAAACTTAATATCAAGCACGGTTATTTGAAGCTTCATTATGATCTAGTTGATAAAATTTCATGAAAAATTAGTATTTTGAAAATATTGGCAAAGACTTTTTCGCTATTATATCTTTTATAAAAGATAATTATTGCATTTACATATTCTTAATAAATTGTCTATAGTATTTTAAAAAAAAGTCATATCATTAAAAAGGTTTTGAGAGTAAATTTTTTCAATAAGTTGAAATGTTATTTATGAATAAGAAACATGCCTTCAATATTCCTTCAATTTAATTAAATCTACTAAGTAAATAATTACTTTAAAAATTACAAGTGATTATTTTTGTTAGACGTGAAATATACAATAGCGCTACAAAAATAAAAAGATATCTACCTATTTGTATAGTAATTAGAGTGACGATAAGCGAAACGAATTTAATGCATCTAATCAAATCTAAATATTGGCAATTTTTTTATAAACACTTTCGTGAATTTAATTTGTTCTGTACGTAATCATGTTATTTTGCAATATTGATAATGGAATTATGAAATGAAAATATTTCTAGATATCAAAAACTACAAACTTACACACATAGGACTTTAATAATCATTTTTCAAAAAATTGTTATCTTTTCTTTACTTTCAATAAAAATAATAACAATAATAATAATTATTATAATTTTTATAATTATTGTTGAGCACATTAAAAATATATATTCTATATGTAAAATTTTCTGTAAATTATTATTGTAATAATTATTATTATTGCATCAATTTTATTTTTGCTATACTTATATCATTTGCTTTGTTTTTCAATTAAACTTAATTATTGTTAGCACAACATAACTAACAGTAGAACAGGAAACCAATTATATATTTTTTGCTACAACATAGCATGACGACATTGCATCTTGAACGTTCACATTAAACAGAGTGTTGATATAATCACTGATCACTATTTGCATTTATTTACACAGCATTTATAGGTACGCATAATAAGGCTACAATTATATGTAAGTCGTTGTATATATGTACACCAAACTGATGTTCCTCGTTGGTCAGCTTCTCTGACAAGTGGCTGCAGGACTTAGACCCAGTTGCCGTTGAAACTTTATAAACTATTATTATCATCACTGATCAATTTTATTCTGTATCATTCTGTATTATAACCTAATCTAGGTACCAAAAACGGTCGGGTCTACGACCTGGAGCCACTCATCAATCTTGACTTCTAAGTGCCGTTAAAAAGGAACTACACAAATAGATCTATGCGATTTACAAAAACAACAACTTAACCTAAACTAAATTATTCAGAAGGTTTTAATTTAATTGGGACTAACTTTTTATTTCTTTGTCATTTTTCACAGCATCATCTGTTGTTTATCTATAGTAGTTCAAATGATTATACCAAAAATTCTCGATAAGTTTTAAAGATCAGTAGCTTAATGTCTCAGTCTGGTCAGAAAAAATGCAAAGTTTCATAAATAACAACCAATTTACTTTACCAACAACCCAGTATATTGTATGTATAACTCCATAACGCGGTACCCTTATAATCCATTTTCATATTACGCGATATCAATCCTTCGTATAACACGGGCATTCTCCCATATAACGCGGGGATTTATACAGTTCATAATTAGCTTTGGGTACCTTTGCACGTGTGTATACGGGAATACCCATATAACGCGGAACCAATCTACAGTGTTCTAGAGGAGATTACTGTATTGTATCTTTTTTATTGTATAATTTAATGACGATGTAAATCCTTTTTCTTTTTACGGACATTAGTGTAAAGTTAATTATTGCCCACTCCCTTTTTTTTTTGCAATAAGAATATATACTGTCTATTTTGCACCACACACTAATAATCAGATTTTATCAGATGTTTTGCAGAAGCTTTGAAAATAATCTAATAGATACAACAATGGTCTAATAAATATCTGAACATGATGAACTTTTTATATATTAAGCTAATTTATCCCTTCTCAATTGCGTTCATATTTCATATAATAACTGTTAAAAGAATGAATTTATCTGCTAACTAGTGTTGATGACTGTTAATTGGCTGTTTGAGTTGGAAAAACCAATTGAAATAAATTTAGTTATATAATTAAAAAAATATCAGAGGAAATATGCCGCCAGCTGTTAGACATAAATCTGTACGAACAGTTTGAGAAAGATCTTTGAGAAAGCAAAAATACTGAAATATTCCAGCAAAGAGTTTATTAAAAATAGTCTACAAATATATTGTTAAGTCGTTAGATACCATGGCGGAAGCGAATACTATTATTACGATTATATATTACAAAATATATGACATATTATATTTAAATAAGATATATAATTAAACTTTAAAGTTATCATTACTATGCAGTTGTTATATATAGGAATGATGTAGGTTTCATCTCGCCGGGGTTCAACATCTTTAATATCGGCCCTTAAATTTTGATGGTATTTGAATTTTTTCATAATTATATTGAATTTAAATCGCAACTGATTCACATACAACCATAGGAGTTAATTATAAACTCAGCTATACTCTATAACCAATGCAGTCATTATAATTCTAAATTTAGTTCATATTATTATTATCAGTTTATTATTATTATTACTAACATTAATATTATATTGTAATATTACTTTATCTACTACAGTATATTATATTGTAATATTACGTTAGTATAATTATAATAAATATCTAATATTTATTCAGTGATTTTAAGATCTTTCATCTTAATTTTTAGATTATCATCAAGATCTTTCTTTAAGATTGAGTATTGATAAACTTGATATTATCATTATTGCCTTCGCATTTGACTATACATTAGATGACTAATGTACATAAGATTATAAACATACAAATCTAAGCACTCTATATAAGTATTATATTTCATTAACGAAATTTTTTTTTATTTTGAAGTATATAAATTTTAAATGTGAGCTAACAATTAATATATTTAGAATTTAATATTTTAAATTTCCATTTAAGCCCTCAATACTGAGAAACAATCCGAATAATAAAATGAAGTACTCTGTATCAGAACAAGCCAGTTCATGTGCCAAACTTGATATAAACAGTAATAAAACTGGAAGCATGTCATCATTATTATTTTGTGACCAGGTTAATGCAGTAACCAACTTATTTGACCAGTGGAATGAATGCGAGCGCAGTGTCGTTATGTATGCCTTACTTAAGAGGCTACGGTATCCAAGTCTTAAATTTATACAGTATTGTATTGAAAGCAATTTAACGCAGAACTTAGGTTCGCAGTCAAATTTGAGTACTGTAGTTGTTGACATAAATGCGAATAATCCATCGTATTTGCAAAATATTTTAAATGCATATAAAACATTTCATCTGACCGACATTGTGGATACGATGTCCTCTTCATCATCTGACAAAGATTCTGTGTCTTGCTACGGATCTGATTTTCAACTTACAAATTGTGATGAAAGAAAACTTTATGGGAAAAAGGAGGATATATTACATGATATTATTAATATGTTGCCATTATTGAAGCCAGGTAATGACGAAGCTAAAAGTATATACTTAGCATTAGTACCTATAGCAGTTAAAGATACAATGACGCAAATAGTACCACCTGAGTTGGTGCAGCAAATATTTTCATACATGTTGATTCATCCAGCTATATCCAATGAGGATAGAAAGTAAGTTTAATCAAATTCAAATTCACACTAAAAATAGATTTTTATTTATTTTTACTTGTTTTTTAAGGTGTTTAAATGCTTCTTTACGACATTTAGAAGAACATTTGCAATCTAAGGAATGCAAAGATTTATTGTTACCCTCACAAAATAATAGCAGTCATGAAAACTCAAATGTTGATATTACTGCAATGACAACATCTGGCTCTTCTACTTCTTCGTCGTGCTCCGCAACATCATCAGTCTGTTGTTCATCTAGTTCAAATGCAACTACAACTTCGTCGAAAATTAGTTTGGGAAGTAGCTCTGCAACAACATCATCTATTAATCGTAATATTGATTGGCAAACAATAGCACCTCCAAATAAACAGCACCATCAGATGCACTCAAAATCTCTAAATGATTGGACAGTAACTAAACCAAACCTTGCATGTGGCGGTAGTGTAAATAGCTCCATTGCTGATCAATTCTGTGATAAACTGAATGGTATTACATTAAACGAATTAGGTTCTAGTCAAAATAGTTTAGGTTTGTCGATTAAAAACACATTGGTAAATTCTCATACCGAGAGTTTAGCATTGGTAAATGGAGTTGCAGCTGCTGCGTCCGTGTCAACAACTCAAAGTTTATTTGGAGGAAATACAAACCCAATAATTAATATAATAAATAACAACGGAGATGATCACGATACATCCTTTTCGAAAAATGGTACAGAGATCTTAGATTTTGAACCAAATTCTAATAGAAACTCATGCGGCAGTTGCAGCAGCGGTAACAATAGTCTCGGTATCCATGAGGTATTTTAAACAAATTTTACTAAAATAAATTAAAAATATATGCGACATTTTTTATATTTTTTTACAGCCATCACATCATCTTGGTTATGCTTCCATTTTAATGAATAATTGTGATCAATTGGAATTAAATCGGTGGAGTTTAGATAGTAAATTGGCTGCACTAAAAACGCGCCGATCAAATAGTCTTACTACACAGACCTTATCTTCTTCATCATCTTCTTCCAATTCTTCTGTGATTACAGTCAACGATAATTGTTCAAATTCAACTGAAAATTTGGCACAATTTGCTAATAAACCACGCAGTTTCTCACTATCGATTGAACATCAACGTAGTACACTTACAAATAGTGGTTCAGATACACGGTTGGATGATTTTAAACCAAATTATATAAAATTCCAAACACGTAACATTGGCATGTCTAGTATTGGATTATGGTTAAAATCCTTACGACTTCATAAATACATCGATCTCTTTAAAAATATGACGTATGAAGAAATGTTACAAATAACGGAAGAATATTTACAAAACCTTGGAGTTACAAAGGGTGCTTCTCATAAATTAGCCTTGTGCATTGAAAAACTAAAGGAAAGGACAAATAATTTAATTAAAATAGAAGTTGATCTCAGTAACGGACATATAAAACTTCAAACTGCTGTCGAGGAATTAGCTAATATTGTGTTAACGCCAATGAAGCCGGTAGAAGCTATTAACGAAAATTTAGGAGAAGAAAATGTGGCTTTGCATTTCTTGAAAGTAATTGATATTGTATGTACCATTGTCCAAAAAGATCTATATGTAGCTCAGGATGACGAAAGTTTAAGCGTTATAATGTGGATATTGGACCGTTCTATACATAATGAAGCTTTTGTTAATCATCTTAATCAACTAAAGGATCTTAAATTTAAATTGTCCAAACTAAAAATGTCCATTGCGCCAAAACTGCATCATGTTAAAAATGGAAGTGGAGGCAGTTTGAATAAAGCAAGGTAAATTTCACAATTATAATTATATGAATATTTAAACATTAATAGAAAAAAAAAGAAAAATTATATATACATATAATTAATATATTTAATATTTAAACATTAATAGAAAAAAAAAAGAAAAATTATATATACATATAATTAATATATATATATATAATAAATATATATATATATATATTTTTTTTTTTTGAATAATTTTTAAATATTGAATAAATTTAGTTAGTTAGCTGTTCAAAATATATTAGTTTATTGCTGTTATATTTGATGGTATTTGATATAAAATAAGCTAAATACATAAAATGTAAGTTATTGTACGTCTTAAAGGTTGAAAAATGAAATCTAATTTTCTGAGCACATGTTTCAATAAGTAAAATATTTAAACGTATATATTTAATTTAAACGTAGTTTATACTTAACAGCATTTTTATAACATGCTTATAAATGATTTCCATGTGTAAAAAATAAATATTTCATAATGCAAAAGTATTTTTAATTTTCTGTCATTATGGTTTATTATGGAGAGGTAATTGGTCTATAAATATCATCTTTCAGGTGACTAACACCAATTATTCATAATGATAAAAAAATAACTCGTTTGATTAGCACGAAGGAAAACTTTTGCTATTTTCAGTAACTAGTTAAAGCACCCAAATTTTTGAAAACGCAAATGCTAACTTTAAAGCGTTTATGGCATCATTAATCTTTACAGCCAGTAAAACCAATTTAGAAATGACAACCATTATTTGATAGATCATATATCAAATTGCTTAAAAGCACTGATACAGGTTTTACCATAAAATTAATGCAACGTTCTTTGGTATCTTGTATCTATACAAACTGGAACTCTAAACTAAACTGGACAATCTATCTTCTTCGCTTAACACAGCAATCGGATCGATAGTTTTCGCTATCAAATGTATTATAGGGTTGTGCACTTTACTAATGAGCACATACAGAGCAAGCGCTTAATTGCGCTATATGCTGCACCATTATCAATTTCATAACATTATTAGTAGGTTTCCTTTCATATTAAATATATTCAGTATAAGAGATAGAGACTGACACTTCATCGCGTCAAGATCTGAGAGATATGAATGTCACGAACTAGAAGATAAAAGCCAAAAATAGAGAAGAATGAACTGTATAGCCATAGACGGCGATGATATATTCAGTATATATTTAGATGTAAAAATTTTATATCATTCCATTCTTTTATGCTACAAGAAAATAGACAACTAGACAGGTAGCAAGAATTATGCTGACAAAATGAATGTTAGATTATAGCTCTTTATCATGAAATAATCCAATGAGTTTGGGACCGCGTCTCAAACGCTAGTTAGATTCGATTTCCACATGCTTTCCCTCTCACACCTTATTCCACTATCGTTATCTTATCGAATTTATTTAAAATTTCAACTTCTTGAATGTTATCTCGACATGCTAGTATAAGTGTTTCTGCTTGTCATGACTGGTTGCAACAACAATGATAATATCTCACTCGCACATTGTGTTCTAGGATGTACTCTTTGAAAATCTAATATGACTTTTGTATTGAAATTTGACAAGGTAAACTTTATATTTTTTTGGTTTTTTTTTTAAGTCTTGATTATTTCAATCAGCGGCTCGATTATATAACCTCACTTCGATTTTCTCACTCGCAATGTTTGTCAATAGTGAGAAATATCGTTCGAGAAAACTATGTGAGAAACATACATAAACGAGCCGCAGTTATTTTTTATAAAATCAAGCAAATATTAATCAATGAATTATTAAAAAATATTGCAGATGGAATGGGAAAAGTCGTAAATTAGACTCAAAAAATGGAAGCAATGATCGCATCAACCATCGTAAAAATTCTAATGACATGCTAAATTTTTCGCTAAGCTGCCTTCAACCTCATAACCATCAGCAACAAAGTGATTTCGATAAGTATCACATTGGCAATAATAATAACAACAACAATAACAATCAGCATCAATATAAAAGCTCGTCTTATCCAAATTTTATAAATAATAATCATCAGCAAGTAAAACACCAACAACAATTACAACAGCATCAAAAGCAACAACAACAGTTTCAGCAACAAATACTTCAACATTCTACACATTTTCCAACATTACCTCAACAACAGCAACTACAAGTATCACAACAACATCGACGTTCACTTAACAATTTAATTGTGGTCTCAGGTGGACCACAGCAACCACAGAAAGTTGTTTTCAAGCCTGGCCAAGGTATCTTATCAGTGGCAACCACAACGTCAGCTGAAAATTTGCAAATGGAAAATGCTATGAAAAACCAACAACGAAAAGCAAGTCTTAACGGCATTAGTAATAATTTATCGGTGTCATCATTTTCCACAGTTAACGTAAACGCAACATCATCGCCAGAAAATCAGCAGGCTAAGAAACAAATGGCGACAGTTGTTATGGTTAGTAGTGATGATATTAGTACAGTAAGTAGTGTACCCAACAATGTTATTAGTAATCAGACAGCTCAAATAATGTTCAACAATACTAGTAATGCCAGTAACAATAATAATAATAACAACAATAATAATGTTGTTAATAATAATCTTGTATGTCAGCAGCAACAACAACAGTTTATGCAACAACAACAGCAATTGCAATTACTAGCTGCAGCTGCTGCTGCAGTTGGAAGTAGTTGTAATTTAAATAATTCAAATAATATTGTCAATTGCACTTGTAGTTCGAAGAGCTGCAGTGTCAATTGCAGTAAGAATAATACCAGCAATACTAGCTCTAGCAGTTGTGTTTGTAATAGTAGTAATAATATCTGTAGTAATACTAACAATTGCAGTAATTGTAATAATTTAGCAGCAACGCCATATGACTCAGAGCTTCAACTCAATCTAATAAACACAAACACAAATCATTTGAACGAAAAATACATTGCTACCAGCACTAATGCTAGCGCGGTAATTAACGACATTAATAGCTTAGAACAACTAGAAACGCTCTGCTTGCAAATGACTGAACAAGCAATCAATTAAAACGTGTAATTTAGATACTTTTATTTGCAGAAACATTTTAAGATATTTTATTAATCAGCACCATAGTGCGCTCGCTAGCCTTAAGGTTTTGTCATTCAAAAATAACCAAAAATAAAAAGATTTTTTTTAAAAAGTCAAACATTTAAAGGTCAACAAACCTTTTAGAGAATTTTTACGCTCATTTAAATTGAAATATTTTGTCGTATTTGAAATATTTTTGTGTAAATTTGTTAAATATATATTGTTATGGAATAGAAAATTTCTTTAAGTTTTGTAAATAGAATTAACAAATTTTGTTAGTATTTATTTATTTATGCTATTTGTAAAGTTTTGTTTCTCCCACATGTCTTCAATTTAAAAAACGATTATAAATCTTCTGACTTAGAACTTTATTGAATATCATATAAAGAAGCAATAAAAATTAAATTATTATCTTGCCATTACAAAATTTATGTTATTAACGAAATAACTAATCACTGATGTTATACTCTTATGTCTGCAATGCAGTTGATATTAGATATTTATTTTAAAGGTTCCATCCATATAAATAAATAAAGACTCCTACGTTCTTATAAACTAGTTAGTTGGGAGGCAACTGATAACAATTGTTCAATTTTTATAGTCATATATAAAGACAAATTAAACCTGATTTTAAAAAAAATCTTTGATATGATTTAAAACAAATTAAACTAATAAATTAATAGCAGACATTGTTGCTCCTAAGGACCATGTTATGCAGGCGATACAAAATGTTCAATTATCAAATTTGTTGGTGCTTTTAATAAATGTTAAAACACAGCAAATGTGATAAATATTTGTTCGCCTGCGTATCATGGCTCTAAGAAAGCATTACGAACATAGCAGATTTTTTTTTCTTTACCAAAAATCTAGTCTATAACTAATTGAAATAACAATCAGTGTATTTATAGAATATTGAAAACATGTATGAAAATCTAGTGATTGTAACATATTAAGTGATTTGGCGTTAACGAAGCATTTGAAAGCTTTAAATAATTAAATACGATGCAAATCACTTATATTTATTTAATAAATAGTTAAACATAATTATAACAAGAGATAAAGAATAAACAATATGGTCAATGAGCTGGTCTCCTATTTCATATTCAATTTATTTTGAAAGAACCAATTTCTTAAATATTTAAAGATAATTTTTGAGTTGGAAGTTTTATTTAAAATGATTGACACCAACCTATTTGAAGTTAAAAAGTATTTTATAAGTATCAGCTATACATAACAAAGTTGCTTTAACTATTTTGTTAAAACTATAAACTCTTTTAAAATCAAATTAATTTATATATTAATTAAAACTTAAATATTATCATACCAAATATATATTTTGTGGTTAGCTTTTATTGAAAGCCGTGTAAGGTTTTAAACGTGCCGCTTCATATACTTTAATTATTTAATAATAATTTAATAAGGGCTTCTTCTTGTGATTAAAATAGGCAATAGATTCTGGGTAAAATCCTTATCATTTATGTTAGTTCTTTATTATTATATTTTTAAACAATAAGAGTTATTATAAAAATATACAACTAACATAAATGATAAGAATTTAACCCAAAATCTATTGTCTATTTTAAAACAACTTAAAGACACTGTATTTTCAAAGACACAAAAATCAGAAGAAGCCCCAATTTAATTATTGTTAATGGCATTTTTATTCTTGAACTGCTAAAATTAAGCTCACCATTTTCGAAATGTATCTATATCTTATGAGGGGAGTACTCTGAACATAAGCACGAAAACTAGCGTTGTTATTAAAGACTATCAAAGAATCTTAAATATTTACAAATGACGCCCCTGTGTGATGCTTTTGAGAAAGCACTCTCTGTAATATTCATATTACAGATATTTCAGATATTTTGAGTGTAATTTTAGCAATTTCAAAGTAATCGATTTCATATCCAGCATCAATGTGTTTCTACCTTCAACGAATTTCATACTTTTTTCCCTGCATTGAAGCAAATACTAAGAAATATTATTAGCCATCTTTAGTTTATTATTGATTATATATTTATATTAGTTTTGATAAGTTATTAATATAATATATATATAATAAAAATATTTTAAATATATAATATAAATAATATATTTATATTATATATGTATATATATATATAATATATGTAATTTTATTATTATTTAATTGAAGGATTAGCACTCATTAGCACTATAAGTTAAAGAGACAACTAATGTGTTTGGTACTAGATTCATAATAATAATGTTTAATTTTTAATTGCTTCTTTTATTGGTTTAGTTTTATTTTAAATTGTAGGTAAGCATTAAGTTTAAAGTTAATGTTGACCTCTTATCTTAAAAACAAGAAAAAAAAAACTAAATATGTTAAAGTTTAAAGTGAACGATTCGTCAGTTTTTGTACAATAAACGTTTTTAAAATTAATTGTAACTAAATCGTAAATTAGTTAATAATTTTTATTTAATTTTTTTGTTTTTGTTTTTCATAAAATATTTTATATACAATTCTTTAGATTTGAAATATTTATTTAATTTTTTAGGAAAATTTGGCCAATTTTGATCAACACTTTACATTGTTTTAAAAATTTGTTATGCGTAATGTTTTAGTAAATTTTAATAGTTGTTAATTTGACAAACAACAAATTAGAAGAAAGCTTTGAGTTGAGTAAAATTTATTATGTTAGTTTATTAAATTATATAAAAACCAATACTATATAAAATATATTTAAAATACCCAAATTGAAAGTTTCAAAAATATTAAATAAATATATATATAAAAATAATTCATAAATTAACTATAACTAGTAAAGGAATGATAGTTAAATGAGAGATATTAAATATACAATTTTAAATTGGACTAAATACTCTCTTAAAATAAAAATGAACTAAGAGAAAATTAACCACACACTGCATCGTGACAATGAGACTGACTAAAATTACTTTCCGAATAAACAAAAACGATTTCAAATCAAAAGCGTTTGCTGAAGTTACTCTATGAAAAGAGAAATTAAATATAACAAAATATAGTGCTACATACGGAATGTAATTGCTGAATTAAATTTAACTATTGAAACATTTTATTTATAGTAAAACAAAACTAAAAAACTAAAAGCAAATTAAAATATTTACTATTTAAACATTTCTTATGCATGTAATTAAATATATAAAAAAAAACTTAACGAAACAACAAAAGTAGTTTTAAAACATTTAAATTTATGAAGTAATTAATTAATTTCGATTGTAATCGCAGCTATTTTCTTTATATTTTTATTATTGTGTTATTAAATATGTGCTATTTTTATTAATTATTAAGTTTAAACAACTAGAAATCAATTAAAAAATAATAATTTCTAATTTAAAAAAAAAAAAAATAATTAAATTTGTTTGTCTTGTTATTTTGTATATTTGTTGTATTGATTATATTTATTGAATAAATTTGACTATATGTATATGATTTTATGTACACAAATAAATGTTATTGTATATGTAAATTCCAAAATATGTATTTGTTATTTCTATATTTTAAATTATGTTATACTTTTAAACAAATAATTATATTTATAAGATTAGTCATATTATTTACCAAATATACACTTTTGCACATATATATATATATATCTATATAATGTATATATGGATGTAAATGAATACATATAATTTATTGTTAAAAGTTAAAATTTAATAAGAGTTTTAGTATGTTGTGATGGTTCGTTCTACTTTAATGTTTAAGTTTTTATTTATCATCATAATAATAATTAAATTTTTTTTTAACCTTATCTACTTTGATAAATAAAAATAAACCGTGTTTATGCTATATAAGCGAATAATTATGCATATAATTTATATATAAACGTCACTGAAATATATATTGATTGACTTTTACAAATTCAAACTTGCAGTAGAGTATAATACTAAAACAAGTTAAAAATTTATTAAACATATTAGGTATTTCTATTCAAAGCTAAAATTGTATAAAAATTATATATTCAAAATGAATTAAATTTTCATTTAATAAATTAATGAAAAATATTATTTTAAAAAGCTGTTTTATAATTCTAGTATATTGTAATAAAATTAAAACTTTTAAAAAAATAAATTAAACTGATTATTTTTTCTGATGAAATATTAAATGTAAAAAAAATTATGTATAAAAACTTGTGTAAAATTTATCTTTTATCATAATAAAGATTAAATGCATATTGTACACGTATTACGAAATATTTGTAGTATATACATACATAAATATATTAATTTTTCAAATACCCAAACATAAAAAAGTTTTTTTTTATACTAAAGACTTACATGTAATGGCAGTTAGTTTGAGCTTAACCGAACGGCCGGGTCTACGTCCTGGAATTACTAGTTGATCCAGTGACCAAGTGCAGTTCAACATCCACTAAAGGGGTCACACAAGCGGGTTACAACAGCTACAACTTCTACAATTCATATAAGATTATTCTTATATTAGTATCATATTAAATAAATAAAATTTTATTTAATTTTTTTAAATATTGGAATGTGTAAGTTTTTTAATTTACTGTTTTAATTATAAAAAAATTAAAATAAAACGTTTTTTATTTAATATTACATTAAAATAAGAATTACCTATATCCTTGTAAAAGAAATACTCTTCTTCTTATTTGGCACTATAGTCCATTGTGAACCTTGTCCTCCCCTTAAAGAAGGTTACGTAGCGGATGTTTTTTTCAGATGCGAGGCTGCTGACTTTGCGATCAACTCTCAACCTGGAGGACCAGATCCTCTTATTTGTAAATCTGGGGATAAAATCGGTGTTTAGTAGCTAGAGAGTTTCCCCTCTGCTAGGTGTTTTCAGGTTATATCGCCTGTACTCGGTCGCTAGAGTCTCGTATGCGAGAACAGGATGCACCACGTGTATGTGAGGTTGGCTGTTGAGGCACACACTTCTACTCCTTCCAATCCTAAAGAAATACTTATTAAAGATTCATAAGTATAAAACATGACTTAAGCAATGGCATTACTTAAAATTTTTTTCTTCTTTACAAATTCTAAAGCGTGTCTCTTACCTTTGCAATCTATTTGTTATGAAGAGGGAAACTTTTTAGTGTTGATGGGATGTATAAAATAATTTCGATTTTAAATATAACTATTTGTAGTTATAATTAGAGAACATTTATTCTTTCAGTAGACGGAAGATTTTAAATATTGGAGTTTATTGATTCCCAATTACGTCTTCTCAAAAACCTGATAATTATCTATATCTTTTCGAAAAGATAAATTGCTGTTGTAGAGGTTTATTACAGAAATTTTTGCCCGCTTTAGCGATATTTTGCCTTTTGTGATGCTGTTTAATATCACTTTTGAACGTTTTTAGGGGTTTTTTTTATCGTTTTTAGCACTCTTACTTTATTATATCTACTATTATTATACTATTATTATTATTTTTATATATTACTATTATTATATATAATTATTATTATATATAATTATTATATATTATTATTACTATATATTATAATTATAATATATTAACATTATTATATGTCATTACTTATGTATATAAATTCTAACTTTGAAGGAAGCAACAAACTTCCTTTATCCATTAATTTTCTATTTTGTCCATAAATTCTAAACTTTGAAGGAAGCAACAAATTTCCTTTGTTCATTAATTTTCTACTTGTCCATAAATACTAACTTTGAAGGAAGCAAGAAACTTCCTTTGTCCATTTTTTAAAATGTTAGCGATCACATGATTATTACTTAAGCATTAAAGTGTTCTGTTTGGCATGTGTAAAGCTAAGTACATTGGTATATGATGTTCAAATTTTTTTTTTGCTCAAGATAATTATTGCTATCTCACTTCTCTGACATCTCTTTCATCTGTAACTGTTTCTTACTTACCCAGTAGAAAACGGATCGATCCGTCATCGAAGACGTCTTCAAGACATGGATACATACATGAAGACTGATCGATCCAAATGTATGACGGTCTTCGAAGACACTTTCATACAAATTAGCCAAATGTCTTCAATGAATTTTTGCGTACATGTCTCGAAGACCGTCTCGAAGACCATGTCTTGCATAACGGACGCATTCGACAGAAAGTTGTGCGCTCTTAGTGCAGTGCTCATTTAATTTTTTCACCCTTTTTTTATTTCTACTCTTTTATTGCGCTCTTTAAATTTTAAATGAATTTAAATTTTCTCTTTAAATAAGTAGAAAGAAATTGTTGTATTTTGTACTTTTATTTATTTTATATAATAATTTCTTAAATTACATTCAAAATTAAAAGTTTTAAAAGTAAATTATAAATTTTATTATAAATTATTATAAATTTTATTAAGATATTAAAAATAAACTAGTAAAAACTAGAAAACATAATGAAAATTAATTTAAATAATTAACTTAATATAACTTAGCATATCTAAAATTAACTAAAACTAATATAAAATAATTTATAGCATTTCGCTATCATCAATTGTTGAAGTTTTATGTTTTCAAAAGCGTTGAAGAGGATTTTGGTACAATTAAACCTTCTGATCTTAAGAGTTCTAAAATATCATTACCACAACGCCTGTTAATCCTGTGTTTTTTAAATATAACAGCTAATTTTTCATAAGTGTTTTTGGTTTTTTTATTTTCAACATCATTTGTTTCGTTTCTTAAACAACTTTCACTGGAATTATTGTCTTCAATATTAATATCAATATATTTTCCAGGAACTAAGTCACTATTTAATTTGTTTTGATTTAATTTCTTTTTTTTTAATATTTCGTAGTTTAATGATTTTGTTTCTTTATTTATTTTGATTTTTTTAATATTTATTTCACTACACTTCAAAATTATTGCGTCAATTCATTTATAAAACATAGCGTCATCTGAGGCAAAATTCAAATACGTTGCTATGAACACTAAAAATGAGAGAGAAAGCAAAGAAAGAGTATTTACATTCATGTTTTGAGCAATTGTTTTACAAATTTGCTTGAAAATGCGGACGCGGTATCAAAGACCGTCTTGAAGACAATGTCTTCGAAGACCACTTTTTCTACTGGGTACTTGCATTCTATGTTGTTATATAAAAACTAATTTGGAATAGATAAAAACTATACCATCTATGTTTGTGATATATGGATAAATTAAGATAGTTTCAATGTATTGAAATAATCAAATAAGGGAATGACTCGTAATAGGTTCAAAGAGCCTTCTGGATCTACCGTCATATAAACGACTAAGTGCTGTTTATTGTTCCCACCATAATTTTGCAATACGACTGGTAGGCTAAAGACTGGCATCCGAAAGGCTAATCAAATTTTAACCGTGGATAAAGGAAAAACGTGATAATGTAGATGAAATGAACCTCCAAAAAATTTTTTTATAAGACAAGAATTAACCACCTTATTTTCAATAAATCTAAATTGTGCTACAGTATGCTATGAAGATAAGAAGGTAATTAGCAACTAAGGTAAGTCCATTTTGAATATATGCTCGAAATAGTCAATAGAGGATACGAATTAAAATGTCATAGCTTTGAAACTGTCAGCTGTATTTGGCATATATACAAAAAAAAATTTAAACTCTACAAATCAGAAACGAATTTAAAGATACAATTAATGACCCGAACTAAATTCACAGACATAACATATTAACCCAAAAATACTTGAAGTAACGAAAGAATTTGGGAAAAAATATCTCCCAAATTATGAAATGGATGAATACTCATCAACTTCATCAAAATGCATGAGACATTACAACAATCACGAAAGTATAATATAATATATATTCCAAACAGGATTCTCAGGCATATTTTATTGATACACATTTCAAACACAACTACAATCAACTATCGATTCTTTAAGAAATATGCGGTCGCAATTGGCATCGATTTGAGCATATCCTTTTCGGACTCAGAAAATATTACACGACAAGTACTTAGGTGGAATTAACAAAGTTGTGGCCAATCAGTTGGAACAGCTGGTTCGATATATAGATAGAGAGAGGCCCTGTGATACACTGGAAGTGAAAGATAAATATGGAGCATAACACATAAAATTTACTGTTGTGTTATCTTTCGTAAATATTACTGAAGTTAATATTAACATAGTTCGATTACATTTTTAGAACTTTAAATATTTAGATTAGCAATACTATATAATACATCGATCATTCGATAAAATAACATAGTAACATTAGAAGCTATCACAAATATAAATTAATTTAAAATAATATAGAAACACAATAAAAATAAATAAATTTGTAAGATTTAACTGCATAATAACGTTGCCTTGGATACTTTTTGATTGTTTGAATAGTGGAATACAAACATTATCCTCTGAAATTATTTGAGTGTTAAAAAGTTTTAAAAATTTTGATTTAATTACGAACCTAAAAAGGCTAAATATACAGAAAAATGAATTCGAACTATAAAAATGTTGGTGCGACAAAGGGAACTCAAATTATGTGGCCCAGTGCACGTATTCCGCAGGGTGGTCTCTTTCATTCACCAAAAGTGGAGTACAGTAAGGAGACAGCTGAGTTGGTACAACGTAAGTTGGCAAATTATGAAATCAAGATTGACCAAATAAATTTCATATTTATGTATATTTTGAAGTACTTATGCGGGAGTCCAGAATGTCGATGTTAATGCGCGATAAAATTAATTACCATTTGCGTAATGGAGAGCCTTTACCGAAGCCAACACCACCACCACCAATTGATACATCAGTAGATCCAGATGAGAATGCTCTCGAAATCTTGCGTCGTGCTCGAAATGCAAAACGAAAGAGCTTGCAACAAATTATGGCCAGTGGGGTTTATGAGATGCCAAATTATCGTCCTCGTCCTACCAATCGTAAACCAAATGAAAAGGCTAAATTTCAGTTACAGGAAGCAATGTCTGGATTAAGTCTTTCGGAAACTGTGTTGAAACCTAAGAAGCAACCTAAAAATGAGGAATGTACAACATCAGAAAATATAATTGATGAAAGTAAGTACAAAATCCTGCTTCAGCAGAATAGAGTTGAAGTTGCTGGTGGGAAGTTGAAAGTGCGTTATCACCTTAACAAAATAGGTCTGTCCGAAAAGATATATTCTCGACTCTGCTTAGAAGCAGGCGTGATTTCCAGTCACATTCTCAACCTTGATCTGGACTAGGAGGAGGTCAATGGGGCGAGAACTACTCTCCTCTTCTGACATTAGGAGGTCCTCAATGGCTGACATTCTGGCTTTCATTCGAAAGACGGAATGTCTTTTGTTCGGTTAGGGTCTATTGCAGCACAAAAGATTAACTACGGTCTCAGTGCTTTGCTTCATTGGGAGCTGGTACCGTTTATTTTTATTTATTTTATTCTAAGCACAAAATCAACAAGATGTTGTCTACGGTACATGCATTGATAGGAAGTGAAGAAGAGAGATGTAAAAATTTAAATATACCAATGTATACTCGTAGATTTAAAAACTTCGCCACTTTAGTGACATATAACAATAGTTATACTTTTAAATAAAGACAGACTTGTGTGTAAAGGGAGAAAGGGAGAATTAATGACGAATGTGTGTAGCATCTGTTTCAATTTATAACACACATTGGTATCTATTTTATGTTCTATGCTCTCAGTGTCTATGGTAGTTTTCTTATTTTTAAAACAATAACAGTTCCCGTTAAAAAACCTCATTACAATGTGTAAATGCTTGTACATGGATCTTGCTGTCTGAATTAAATACAGTTCTAAGAGAAGATAATCAAGGTCCGTTGAAAAAATCATAAAGTATACGCAAATTCATGGAAACAACTATGTACATCCCGCTTTGTTATGTTATTACTTTTTCATTACTGAAATTCGGAGTGTTGAATTACTACAGATCTGAGGGTTCAGTTCTAGAGGAAGTTGAGTAATTCAGACATCAAAGGAACTATCATCTATAATGAATGCTTAATTTATATGATTTTTAAATTTATGTTAATTTTTTCTTGCAAAAAGTGATTTGTCTTTATGATGAAAATAAACTATTTAAAAGTTAGACGGATTCAAATAGCAAAGAAAAGACAAGAACAAAAATGAAGTTAATTTATTGAAATTTGACTGACCATACAACGCTGTTTCGACTATTGCCACTTACTCATCATCAGTGGTCCTAGAAAATATTCGAATTTCGTTTTAATTAATAGCTTTGTGGAGGGATAGTATTTATCACTGATTAATAAGATATGCCCATAGTTAATTAAATGTGGATATAAATGTTTTTTTTTTTTGTAACAAGAATGACTTTTATATAATTAATTCCAAACAGTGATGAGGTCATCGTTTCGATTAGTTTAGTTTGGTGGTTGTTGTAACTTAAATCATTGTAGAAAGCAAGCATATATACCATATATAAACATATAGCATATGACAATGCAATATGGGATAGAATGAATAAAGTGAAGAGTTGTAAGGTAAATTTGAGGAAAGACATAGGTGAAAATCCTGAACCGAAGTCCGGATCCAGTTGTTGAAATCTTTCCACCTTAATGGGGCGAAGCTATACATTAATAGGGCTAAAATTTGTATTTATTTAGACTGACGAGTTTATTACCATATTTGGTAGTCCATGTAACTTATTTTTCAACTATTGCTTTTTATATTTTTGACGTGTTTTCATAAATATATCTTAACACTAATGCATTTATAATTTACCCTAGTACTGAAGCAAATCAACGATCGAGCTGAATGGTTAGCAGAAATGGAGCAGCTTGGAGAGGGTGAGAAATATCGTGATGAAATCCGTTCACAAATTGCTGATCGCTTACGTAAAATAAAACGTCTTCAAGAAAGAAAGCATTTAGAAAAACTTGGAGCTCGCTATGTTGATTGATTCAAAAATAAATTCTCACTTATTTTTTACTGCCAATTTTCTTCAAATTTTTCTGCAAAACTAAACATTAAACTCAAATTAGTTATTTTGTAAATGTTAACAATTTTATAATTGCTAAATTAAAAATATATTTTTAAAAACTTGAAAGAGTATTTGAATTCTTGCATAAATATTTGTTTATTTAAAATAGCAATAAATATTTATAAATATATAGTAAATTTAAGATTAAAATATAATATTATATATGCCTTATCGTACACATAAAATATATAAGTTTCTCTTCACAATTTTTAGACAAATGTTTTTTTTAAAAATTTGGCATTTTTTATAAAAGCTGCGACCAAACATTTTTTATTGTAAAAAAACATACAATCAAAACTTATTTATTCAAAAGTTTTATGAATATTTAAACTATTTTCTTTAAAATTATATATAATTCTTGTATAATTATTAGTAAATAATTTTATGTGGTATTTAATTTTTGATTATACATATTATTGTAATAACTTATGTGGCAGTTAAGTAATGTAAAAAAATTTCAAAATCATTTAATAGTCAATATATAATTACATATAGTATATTAAGTAAATAATTAAAATAATTATAAATTGTTATTTATATTTAATTCAATGTAATTTTTTCAAATTATAATATATGCGCTCTGCTTAAGCAGTAATTGATTGCCTTTATTTAATATATTGTATAGTTTATTCAGTATACATCATTCTATTTTTAGCATTTAAAATTATTTTAATTTATATAAAATTTTGATTGAAATTTATATTGACCCTCTGTTATTTCCTTTATTGTTAGTGTTGATCATGGAAGCAAAATTTAAGCTATGATTAGGATTTTATCAACTATTAATTGTGTAAATTTGACATACCATTTTTTCGAGTTTTAATTGTCTTTAACTGATGTTATAAAATATCTTAAAATAAAATGATCGTTGTGTATATACTTACAATATATATATTAAATCCAAAATTAGTAAAAGATATAATATCGATTAAAGCAGCTAATGCTGTAATTAATTAGTTTAATTAAAATCAACTTATTAGGTAAAAGTGTACTTTGAATTAAAAATAATATTTTAATTAATTTATAAATTAGAAAACATTAGTAGTTGTTTACTTAAAACAGATGAGTCATTTATTTTTGTTATTAAGGCCCGTAAGATACCAGGGAACATCGTATAATTACAACATAAATCTATTGGTTGAGATACGAGTGGACGTAGGTAGGGTGAGGAGAAAAAAAGTTGTTTAGAATATGGAACGGAAAGCGTGAGTCATACATAAAATTTCATATAAATTCGATTTTTTGAAACAAATTTAAAAATAATAAATTAAGTTGAAAAGTACTTCTTGGGAGTATATTTATAACTTATTAAATACTATATGTGAAAAAATGTATTTTTAAATTGCATGTTAAATAAATCTTGGTTAAAAGGTTTGATTTTTAGAAATATTGATATTTATTATAGATCTGTGTGGGTACTCTTTTTATGAATTAAGCTAAATCATGAGTATGAGTTCCAAATATTGAAAAATGTACAATAAGCTTTAAAAAGCTTATAATAATGTTAATATTATGTGGTTTTACAAGCACGTTGATCGCAATGCTTTATACAAATTTATAACATATAAATTTTTTTTTCCTTTTTTTATTTTATAGAATAATTAATACTAGAATATAATAGCAACATATTAAATATTGAAGTAATCTTAGATGTAAATAGCATGTTAAATTTGAACTCGACAAAAGAAAACGGGTGCATTAGTTTAACTGAAGTCTACAAAATATCGTTTTTTTTTGCAAATAATCGTATAAATTCAAATGTTAATCTTTCGCATTTATGTTTATTTTGATCATTTTTCCTGTACGCTTAAACTGCAAACGCCATAGAAACTTGTAAAAACTAATACTATAACACATCAATTATAAAACTACTAAATACGATTTTTATCGCAAATTTTTTATTAATACTTGCTTGTTTCATTGTGCGTTCATAAAATGTTCACATATAATTTAGCAAGCAGGCAAGTGACAACGAAATTCTCCAACAGCTTCAGCAACGCGATTTCTAATTAAATAACCGCTAACAACTTCTGCAACTTCTTGTGGGCGATCCTCGTGTACTGCATGTCCACAACGTGCTAGCACTTGCATTTGAAAACGTCCTAAAATAATAATAAATTATAAATAGCACAATTCTATGTTATAGAATTTATGAAATAGAACTCTTCATGCACAAATATAGGCAAGCAAAATACATATAATTCTTATTAAGCTAATACGAGTATATAGTAGTAGTAAATGGTTTTACTTTGTATTTAAAGTAAAAGAAGACGGACTACAGAAATGATCCTGTGAAGTATAGTTTTAATAGTCCTAATATGTAACATATAGTTCTTATAGTTTTCATTATTTTAAAGTCCGTTAAACCTAATTTTTTAATTATCCTAAATTGTATTGATGTGGCAGCTTCCATTTTACGCCCAAACAAGAAAATATTGTGGATATGATAATGATACAATTTATAAGAGATAGGACACATACTAACGACTATATATATAAAAATAAACATAAAAGCACATACACCATGTTATTATCATAAAAAAGTAAAACAATTCTGAACATAAGTATTTTCAATAAAATAATGTTTTACTGTTAAAATTAACTATATTGATAAATAGTTGTGGTTTCACAAATAGCGGGATCGACGTCTAGAAATCTTCCGTTAAAGTTTGCATTTCGAATACACTGGTTTCAAACTGTGTATCTAAGACATTCGTTTAAATCTTTATATCTGAAATACTCGTTTGAATCTATGTGTCTGAAACATTAGCTTGTCTTTATGCATTTGAGACACTATGTATGTATCTAATACACTCGTTAAAATTTACATTTCGAATAAACTAGTTATTTTATTTTTCAGATCCATTTTTATAACGATTTTTCCACAAATATAGTAAACTTGAGTTTAAATAGTCTCGCATAAACAATAATAAAAATGAATTTATTAAGTTAAAGAAATAGTTAAAACACTTTAATGGATTTAACCATCAACATTTACACCTACAGATCTTTTTAAGTTCTACTAAATTTCATATTAACATTCTTTTTAGTCTTAGCATTTCAGAAAAATTAGGTACTAATGGATTTTTTATTAATTATATATTGTTTGGCCGAAAAATGAATTTTAAGTACAAAAAACATAGATTTATATACGTATGTAGTGCTTTAACATTATGAGAATAATTGATACCGTAGTAAAGAAACCAATACATACCTTGCATTTGACCAACAGTAAGAGTTTTGTCCAAACCGTCGATACTAGCTAAAAGTAACTGTTTAGGTATACGTAAATTTAAAAATTTATCGCTTAACCCAGAAAACCACCCAACCCAATATTTTTCTGATTTTGATAAATCTATACGCCAAGTATATCTAAATGAAATAGAAAAAATAAAATAAAATAAAATAAATTGTGCACATTCTAAGAAAATTAACATACTTTTTGGCAATATCATCATTTACGTTTAGTGGTTTTGTGAAATTTATGCTACTATCACTTTCATTAGTTGCCTCATTAGCTCCACTTATTTCTTCATCTTCAGAAATACTAAAGGGATGAGTAAATTGTGTAGTACTGGAAGCATCATCATCGTCATTTTCGGGTAGAGGCAATTCATTTGTTGCTAATTTATTCGTTGTACAACTAAAAATAAAAAATTTAGTATATTTTGCAAAAAGTGAGAAATAAATTTTTATATACTTAATAATTTGTCCAGGCATAGACACTTTTGCACTGTCTACATTACGTATCTGACCACTTCGAATACACCATTCAATTGCATTTGGAATGCTTTTGAAATGCGTTGGACGAGAACGCAAGAAACTTTGCATACTTGCTAAAGCTTCCATAGCTGTTCCCTCAACGACATCAATAACAGTAATGCCGATTATATTATTAATAATCATTAAATGTGCAAAATGTACAGCAATAGCACCACCCATTGAATGCCCTACGAGATAAATGGGTGGTTTTTCATCCGGATATAATTTGTTAAGTAAATCACCAATATCACTAAAACAATAGTAAAAATTTATTATAAGACAACTCCTAATTTATTCCTATATTTATCGATAGTGATATAATTGATAACATATCAAGTTAATCACTTAGGTTTAAACATATATGCTAGAAACTTACTGTGCTAATGTATCAGCTGAAAGATCATCTTCATTTCCTGTACAGGTATCCCCATGACCACGCAAATCAACTGATAAACATTGACAATGTATAATGTTTGTTATTTCAACCTATAGATATTATAAAAACATTATAAAAGTTTTGATTATCAAATTTGTTATTATTACACAAAAATGCGCCCATGTAAGCCCCGAATAGCCACCACCGTGCAATAATAATAAAGTCGGTCCAACTTTTTCCGGTTGCTTCGTACGATATATACGAAATGTTCGTTTTTCATCTACTACCACGTCTTCTTTATATGCAAAAAACTCATTCCATTGAGTTGGCTTGAAATCACGTACTCGAGATTTCTTGAACGAGTCCCTAAGATATTAAAAAGTGTTTATAATGTAAAATAAGATGTAAATAAAATTTAATCTACAATAAAAACCGCATATTGGCCTTGAATTTTTGATTGTATATTTTGTTTTTTTAATTTGCAATTATTCATACTTCTAATTTTAAAATGCTACTTACGATCTACCTATACGGGAACCAGGTACTGTGGGAGGCAATCGACCTTTTAACATGGTTCTTTGTAAACTGGACATTTAGATAAACTTTATTATAACTTAATAAATATATATTAAATAATTACTCCAACGCTCTATATTATTTTACACCGTTTTTGGTGGTGTCTTCATTTGCATAAAACAGCTGTTTTTTTGCACTGTTGTCAATTTTCAGGAGGATAGATTGTAAAGTTTATGGATTACAAATTGACCATTGAATAATAATAATAATAATATTGCCTGATTTAAGTAACTTATTTATATAATATTATTAATTTTGATTTTTCTTTTCAATGGTTTTAAAATGGTTTTATTTCACAATTTTAAGAGTTATATAAGTTGAGATTTATAACAACATCACAATACGAATAATTTTGCACAATATAGACTGTATAAGTAGAAATATAAATGCAATGTAATAGTGACAATCGAATTTACTTAATTAAAAGAGTGTTGTACTTTTCACTAAACTATCTAATTGGTAAGTATATACAGAATGAATAGATTTGGGTATAGAAACAAGTTAAAAAAATTTAATAACACGAAATTAAATATATTTCGAAAAATAGGTTCAAATTTTTCAACCGAACCAAAATATTTTGAAAATTTATACAGACGGTTCTAAAAACAAAATAGAGTTCGAGCTTATTTGTTTGAAAGAAACAATTAACTGTAAGATGAACGTTTTTATAGACAGTCCAATGGCTTCTTTAAAAATATTAAGCAGGTCAATTAAGTAGTGGGCAAGTTAATCCATAGACGTAGGCTGTATATATTTGCATTCTTGCCCATAATTGTATAGAGAAAAATTATACGGCTAACAATTTTACTATAATTGATAATAACTTTGCAGAGGATCAAATAAGCGAGGTGCTGATGACTCTGGGTAATACATAAAGACGACTATATAAATACATGCTCAAAAAGGCGAAACACGAGTGTCGTAACTTATGCGAAATTATCGAAATCATAAGTAAACATATATTCTATATTCGGTCTTTGCTTTTGTAAGGATATTACATAAGAACAACTGGATATTTTAAAAATAACGTATGAAACAACAACACTGCTGGCTTATTTAGTCCAACCTTTTAGAAACCGCTTAACTAATAAACAGCTCAAATCTCATGGTTGCCAAGACTAAAAATTCGTCTATTGTGAACGATTTTTGGAAGTACATACGAAATTTTCAGTTAACTGTCAACGAATACTTTCATTAATGGTTCGTATTTCGTGTCCTCATTGTTCGTAATAAATACGATACTTTTTCTATTTATTATTTTACTGTTAAAAGGCATTTAAACTCATATTTTATTCACAATCATGTAAATAAAGCAATATTCTTACCAATAATTGCAAACAATTATTATTCATTTTTGAAATCTTAACTTTAAATTTTATTACGTGTTTTGTATATATAAGCCTAACAAAATCTCCATTTTGTCCAGAGTTCCATCGGAAGTAATGCTTATTTTATTTGTTCTTTTGTGGCATGCTTACAAAAGAAAAGGTCTATTGTCGAACGAAAAATTTTAATAAGCGAAAAAACTAGTAAGCTAAATATCACCATTGGCGACGATTTAAAAATATACAAGGGCATGTTTCAAGGTAATACTGGACCATCTATTCTATTTTTGATTGATCCTCTTGAAGTCCTGAATAAAATTCTTTAGAGGTACTATTTTTGAAGTTCTTTAAATTTGCTAAATACAAATACATATTAAGTAATATGTACAGTCATTAACATGTTTTATGAACTGCGATTGAATGTTCGATGAAGCTGTTGGATTCAAAATGCTGCAAAATTATTCGATGTTTAGCTACAATCAGTGTCACTTGATCTTTAACAAGCATGAATTCAAACTAAAGTAGTGTTAAGTAGTTCAAGCATTAATCAATAGTAGTGTCAGCATACTAAAATAAGTACTACATTTAGGAAAAGAGCCTTTATTGAACGCGGTTTACGCAATAGAAGTTATGAATTTTCGAGATTTGCTAACGCAAAGTTGCAAATATTGCTATAGCTCATTCGTATCAGCGGTTAGATATGCTTAGACAGAAGATTCGAATTTTCTTTCTTAGTGACTGCAATAAGCTGTAAGCACCACCCTTTATAGCATTCGTAGTCATATCACTCATATTGCTTAACATATATCACGATTAAGAACTGCATAATTTATTTCAAATTAAATCTGCATTGAAAATAAAAATCTTTTCAAAGTACGGCCAAAGTAAATTCCAAGTAAATATTTTTCAGTGCGTTAATTCTTGGTAATATGCTTTTATGTGGTATAATACAATTGTTTTAAGCTAATCATATGTCCATAAATGGATTTTATATGAATTTTGGAGCAATTCCACTCGTGTAAACTCTAAGATAAGCTATGTTAATTAATAGTAGCTATATTTACAGTTATTAAAAATTATATCGTACAATATTCATTTATTCTAAATATAAGGCCTTTTCGGTGGCTCGCAAGTACGGCAAAAAACAGCAAGTTGCTGGCGTATGCAGGCCTATACTGGCCGCAATGTACGCAAAACAACAACACTATTTTCTCTACCTCGGCCAGCATAGTTATGCTGGCCAACCACATCGGCCAGTAAAAAAAAAAATGTTACCAACGCAATAAGCGAACTATTGTGAACCTTCATTGAAAATTCCAACGAATAGTGCAATCAAATGTCAAAAATTGAGGAAATAAAAATTCAAACAGAATTCAAAAATTTGAAAAATCTTGAAAAGTAACAAAGAAATAATAAGAATGGAGAAATCGTAAGTATTAAGCACATTGAATTTTTTATTATGTTAGTTATTACCAAGTAACATTTATTTTATTTCATTTAATTTGTAGTTTACATACGTAAAATTAATAAACAAACATAATTTTTGAAGTTTTTCTAAAAAATTTTTTTATAGAAATACACGCAAACTATGGACCACAAAGGAAACGAAGTGTTTTCTAGAGTGCTACTTGACACGAAAGGAAGGGTTTTTGGAAACCAGAAAAAAAAGACTTGGATATTCACAACATTTAAAAATTCGTTAAACAACTTGCATCCCTCGGCCGCTGCAAAACGTTGCTTTCTTCACCCAACATCGACAGTACCTACAAAAATTTACTTATCTTAGTGTTTTATTTTTAAATTTCCAATATTTTTACCATTCCTTTTAATTCCATGTTCATTTTAATTTTATAATATTTTTATAAAAATATATTTGATTTATATGCACATATACAAGATTTGCTATTTGTCAAAACAAAACATTTGACAGATTGCAACGGTGATGCCAATGACTCGTGTGGCCAACATAGGCCAACATGCATTTTTTGCCGTACTTGCGAGCCACCGAAAAGGCCTATAATTATTGTGGCTCTATCAAAAAAAAAAAAACAATGTATGCACAGTAGTAAAATTTATATTAGTGGCAACGCCACATACATTAGGTTTCCACATTTTATGGCAACTGGTTTAAAAACAGCTGATTTAGTATACAATTCTGCCGGTTTGTTGTTTATAAACAATATTAAAGTGACTGGAAGTAATTCGGTTCTATTTTAAAATGCAAAATTATGTATGGCTATTATTGTTACCAATATTGTATGTAGCATATTCACTACCACTATTTTTACGTGTTTACGCTACAACACATTCCGTAATAGATGAAGAATTTCACTTAAGACAAGGATTACATTTTTGTAATAAACGTTTTGATATTGTAAGTAGAATCATATAATCTTCATTCCATAAAATCCTGAAATACTTTTTTTTATAGTGGGATCCCAAAATAACTACATTTCCTGGGTTGTATTTGATATCGCTGGTGCTTAACCCGATAAATTCTTGCTCCGTTTTAGGCTTACGATTAATATCTTTTACATCTGCAGTTATAAATGTAGTACTACTCTACAAAATTCGGCGACGAAATCTAAAAAGATCCAAAAGTTCTTTGGCTGCACTTGATGCATTTACAATAGCCGCATTACCACCTTTATACTTTTTTAGTCACTTGTACTACACAGATACTATCTCGTTGACAACAATTTTGTTATTTTATTACTTTTGGCAGAAAGAATCACATTTGCAAGCTGCAGTTTATGGTATATTAAATATAATGCTGTATGTAATAATTTTTATGCTCATCCTTTAATTATGATAGCTGCTGCTAGTGTATTAATGCGGCAAACAAATGTTGTTTGGGTGGGCATGGCTTTTGGTATAATGTCATTAGATGTGCTAATTAAAAATTATGCTGCATTCAAAAGAATAAAATATCATCAGGTGCAAACTTTTAAAGTACAGGTACGCAATTACTATTAAATATAGTCATACTCTAAATATATTTGATCATAAACTACTTACATTATATTATAGACCTGGCTGGAAATACTTACCAATTTTAAATTAATGCTCAGAAGTATTTGGCAAATATTGAAAAAAGGATGTTTTTATTTAGTAATTCTTTTACCTTTTGTTGCTTTTGTTTTTATTAATGGTTCAATCGTTATTGGTGATAAACAAGCTCACGAAGCCTCGATTCATTTACCGCAGGTAAAATATATATAATCAATATATTACAATATTTATAATATATAAGTTAATATATTTTGTATCTTTTAGCTATTCTATTTTAGCATTTTTGTACTAATATTTGCTATTTCGAATTCTATAAAACAATTGAAAGTAACTTTACAAGTTATTTTACATGAAAAACTTATAGTACTTTTCGTAATTGGTGTTTGTGTACTTATAGTTAAGTGGAATACCTTGGTACATCCTTATTTATTAGCAGATAATCGTCATTACACTTTTTATATATGGAATCGATTATATGGACGCTTTAGTTGGTTTAAATATGCTGTGACTCCAGTGTATATTTTTGCATTAATTGCGCTTCATAATGGCTTACGACACGAGCGTGATAGTTTTAAGATAATGTATTGGATATCAGTTGTATTAGTATTATGTTTTCAGCGCTTGCTTGAAGTACGTTACTTTCTGGTACCATTTGTACTATTTCGATTACACACATATCCAACAGGGAAAAAAAATATTAGCCAATGGCTAGAATTGGGATTTTATTTGGCTTTAAACGCTTTAACATTTTATATTTTCTTTACAAAAGAAATTATATGGCAAGATTTCAACGAACCACAGAGAATAATATGGTAAAATATATTTTTAAATCTGAATTTAAGTATATCGGAAAATATTTTATGTGGTTTGCGATTATTAATCACAATTAAAAATCAAGACATTACTTGTACATTCGGCCCTTTTACTTTCATATAAGTTTAATATGCTAAATGATTAAAACTAAATGATTTTACATTTTTACGAAAAGCGCAAAATAAAATTAAAAACGAAAATATTTTTGACAATTTTAATCATAAACAAAAATTATTAACATAAATGTTTATTCAAAAAGGGTGTTTTAATGTAAAAACGTAGACTATTTATTAAACTATTTATTAAATTACAATTTCTATTGCCAGAGAACGATAAAAGAAATAGTAATTCACTGAAAAATATGTTTAATATAACATACAGAATATAATAATATATAACTAATATATATAACAAAAAAAAAACTTGATTAAAAAAAATTGATTTAAATTATTATCAAAAAAAAAAATATCTGATATTGATCTTTTATGAGAGAAAATTTTTCTACAGCTACCGATAAAATTTTAAATATCACTATTTATTAATATATGTCTGTGTAATAATCTTAATATATCGAGTCAAAATAAAAATTCTAATTTGTAACAAAATCTAAGTTTTTTATTCTATTATTCTATATGTGTATATCGAATTATTTTAAATTGCCTTTTTAAGTTCAAATTTATACTCAAAAATATATGCGTGCTATTGGATATTGCATTTTACAATAACCTTGTGTTTCTATCTAAAAATATGTAAGGTGTGCATAAATGGATTTTTAGTTCAATAGTATAAATAATTTATTTTTGTGGTTTAATATTGTATATTGGATGCGCATACATCAAAAGTTTCATTCAAAACTACACTGTTATCTTAAGATTGGAAATTTGGCATGGTTTTACCTAGGTAGGCCTAGGTATTAAGAGAAAAATATATTAATGTCTGCCTTTTCGCAAGTTCATAATTAAAAAATAATTCGGTTCAAAATATCAAATATGTACAGTGATTATTTTAGTACATTGACCTGTCTAAACAATATTTATAAAAGTACATATTTTACAGGTAAATGTTAAATGTAGATTTCATCTGAACTGAAAGCACACTAAATAAATTGAGGAATATTAGGATATTTAGTGTCACTCATTATGGGTAGAATCAAGTTTAACCATTATTACTTTTTTCAAGCAAAAACAAAAGAAAATGGACCAGAGTGCAGTGGTAGATTGGTTTCGAAAAGTAGTGAACTGCAACAACAACAATTATTTTCATATTATTTTAATTAATTAAATCTTTGACTTACTTACTTTTTTGATAAAATGGGACTTATCTAATCTCTCTCTTGTTCGGGTTGTAGAAGCTGTCCCATTAATCTTAGTCTGATTCAATCCCGATTACTTTGCAGCCAAGAAATTTATTTCCTTCCCATACAGCGAATTCTGCAATTTGGGTTGCCCTAGTAAGTAGTAGTAGTGAATGCAATTCAATTCATACTTAGATGTAAGTATTTTATGCCCGAAATAGTGGATGCAATTTAATTCATACTTGGAAATAAGTATTTTATGCCCGAAATAGTGGATGCAATTTAATTCATACTTGGAATTAAGTATTTTATGCCTGAAATATGGTATTTTACGAAATTTGCGCAAGGGTTTACAGTTTGTTCATAGATTTTATGTACAGTATCCAAGCATCACATCATAAAATAATGTAAACCAAATGTATCATTTTAGATGTTCATTCAGGTCTCACTTTGTCTTTACCTCCAAAGATTATAAAAAGCGCCTATATCAGTATATGTATAGATAGTCAATATTCTGCACTCTGTAGTTACTATAAGGACAAAACTATTTGGGTGTTTGCTGTGTGCCTACTTATTGGAAATTACGGTGATGAAGTTGCGGATAAGCCTGCAAAAATCAGGCTTAAAACGGCACACCGTTTTGTGGACCGGAGACCTTTTTAAAATTACTTGATCCATAATCAAAACTCTAATTAACTACGAAATAATGATCCAAAATTTTCTCTTTCAAAGCAAATTCTAGTTAACTCACAAGCAAAAGAGCTGGTACCTTCATGCGATTACCGGTTTTCAGAGTAATTCTCAATTCACGATTAAACTACAGTCGGTCGCTACAGTAGTGGAGGATACTCACTGTAGTGAAATTTTACTAAATTCAATAGTAGCCCGCGACTGTAGCTTATTCGGGTACTTGTACAATACTACAGAAATGTATTTTGCTTTTTTGTTATTTTTATCTTTTGCAGTAGGTGGAAAGTATCGGAAACCATAGTGTGAGATTTGAACTCACTAAAACTACATTTTAGCAATGATTGTGAAAGATTCAGAAGCGTTCAGTGGATGCCACCCCATTCCAGTAATCAAAGGCAGAGAGGAGAGCGAATGGTCTTAGTATTTATCAAGCTAAATTTATCAAAGCCTAAGTTAGGGGGAGGGCTTAACTTGCGAGAGGATCTAGGTAAGAGTAAACCCTACGCTCGGGATCATGGAAACCATAGTTGTAGAGCGGAATAAGTGAAGAAAGAGGAAACTCTTCTTCAAGATAGTGGGCAAGGAGTTTGGGAGGCTTGTACCTCATAGTCTCAAGTAGCATTGTTCGAAAGGAATCTATTTGCAAATGTTCGGGTAGGATGTATTTATTTGACTTCAAATTTATACCTCTAGCTCCTGTTTTAAGTAGAGTTGCCTTTAATGTTAATTTTTTTTTGTGTTAATGTTAAATTCCTGAAATCAACCTGTGGTTTTTTAGACTACCGATATAAGTTAATTTTTTTATTTGTATTTTTTGCTTTTTGTTCATAAGTCGACATTTATTTTATTTTATGCGGTATTCCATCAGAAACATAGGCTATTTACAAAGAATCTGCAGTGATTTCGATTTGAAGCTAAGTATCTAAGTTCGTTAAAGGATTTGCCGGTGTCATTTAAGATGGTCATTCGTCAAGTAGTTCGTAATCGTTTTAGCCTACGGGAGCCTGACGGATTCCACTGTAATGTTGCGTGACAGATTTATTCATAAGACTTGCTGAGCGTGTGACCCAGCCAATTGCCTTTACGCCTTCTTATTTAGGTGTTAATGTCTTTTTGTCTAGTTAGTTGAAGTAATCCTTCATTTTAAATTACGCAAGGCCACCACATCTTAAATATATTGCGCAGGTATCTATTAGTAAATAATTTCAGCCTTTGTTTGATGTCAGTACTAACTAGCCATGTTCCGGAGCCATAGAGTTGTACAGTCTTAACGCATGCATTGTACACGTTGTTTTTTGTCGTAGTAGACAGTTCACTTAAGCGCCAGATATTGCGTAGACTAGCGAAAGCAATACGGGCTTTATTTATTTTGTGTTGAACGTCTTGTACAACACCGCCCGTCGGAGTAATTATGCTACCTAAGTAGCAGAAGTCGTTGACGTTCTCTATAGCGTCATGGTTAACCTTAAAAGATAGTGTGTGAGATGATTTAATTGTGCTCTCTTTAGTTTTTGAAACGTTGATGCGTAGCCTAGCTGCCTTGGCTTTAATGCATAGATCGTCAATTTTTGCTTGCATATGTTCCCTGTTTGAAGCGAGTAGAACTATGTCGTCACCATAGTCAAGGTCTTCAAGATGTTGATTGACCCTTCACATAATGCCTTGTCTTCTGGAAACAAAATTTTAATATGCAATCTTATATCACCGCAAACAGGAAAAGAGATAAGAGGCAACCATGTTTGAGCCCGGTTTGTGCGGTAAAAGGATCGCGAACATTGCCGCAGTGCACTACTCTCGTAGAGTATTGAGTTTTATCCGGCAATGCCATGCTTTTTAGGGCAAATCATTTTGCATTGCGATCAATGGAAACAATAGTTTTTAGGAAGTTAAGTCTACCTATATAGTATCCCAATTAAAACAATTAAAATAAACTTAATTCTTAATTCATAATCATAACGTAAAAGAAATGGCTGCATCTTTAAAGTGTACTAGAATTAAATAAAAACGAATATATTTATTATGTCTTTTTATACAATTAGTTTTATTCGATATAGAAAACATTCTATTTAGTTCAAATCACTTGAACTTGAAGCAATGTAAGTGAAAGTGTGTCCATATGTACACACATATAACGTAGATTTCGTAAATGGTATTTGGCACAAACAAACTCACATGTACAGTAATCCCCCGTATAACGCGGTATCCTTATAACGCGTTTTCATATTACGCGATTTCAATCCCTCGTATAACACGGGCATTCTCCCATATAACGCGAGGATTTGTACAGTTCAAAATTAGCTTTGCGTACCTTTGCACGTGTGTATGGGGTATACGGGAATACTCCTATAACACGTTTTCCTATAACGCGGAACCAATCTACCGTGTTATAGGGGGGATTACTGTATTTATGTGTATGAGCAATTTAACTGTCAAACAAAGCCTGTCTGCGCCACTTCCAATTTTATTCGTGCAACAAAACTAAAAATTAATTTCAATTTTATTTACGTGAAGAACTGCCTGCCCTGACTGACAACTTCGACCGCCCACTGATGAGCTTCTATGAATAACGACTCCTAAATAAAGTACCAAACACCCCACATACGGGGGCACTTGCAAGTGCATAAATATCAAATTAAAAATTTATTGCAAAACAAGTGTGAACAATAAAAATTTAAAGGAAAACATATGCAAGTATTATATGCCAAAAAAAATTTAGGCAGCAAACAAATTCAAATGGAAAAAGGATGTTTTTGTCAGGTTCTCGTTGGCATAAATAAAAATGCTTTGCAGAGTTTAAAGCATTTGAAAGTGAGTAGCGTTCGAGAGTGTACCGAAAATAAATCAGAACGGAACTTCTGAACTTCATTCAGTATGAATAAATCTTTTTTGGCTCAAGGTGGAACACCAATTTCTGCAGAATTAGCAACGGTGAGGTTGAAAAATATTTTAAATATATTTTAACATATTATTTAACTAAAAATACCTACGTATGTTATGTAGAAAATTGAAAATATAAATCAAAAATTATTTCAAACTATTTAAATTGTATTAAATAAGTAGACCGAAGAATCTGTAAAATAAATAACTTTTTATACCATAAAAATTAAAATACAATTAAATATTTAACATAAATTTGTAAGTGTAATTTTTGATTTTAAAAAAACGTTTTTAATTTTTATGTGTTTAATTAACGACATAAGCCGAGTAATAATAAAAAAAAAAGTATCGAATATTGGTCGTAATAATAATTTGTTAATTATTTAAAAATTAAAATATAAATATAAAAAATAAATTAATATGAAGGAAAATATTATAAATTAAACTTATTATATCAAATATTATTATCAATTAAATATTATCAAAATAATATATAATAGAACAGAATTAAAAAATAAATAATAATATATAGAATATAAAAAAAATCAATTATTATATAAAAGCTTAACTTAAAAACTAAGAATAGGAAATTTGTTGATCAGTTTTTAGAACTAAGATAAAATATATATAAAATTATATTTAGGACACAAATAAAATAAAAAAATTAAAATAAAATAAAATTAAATAAAATAATATATAAAATATTTATAATATTTAAAACTTTTTATACTTATAATATTTAAAACTAATCTTAAATAATATATGATATATTTATAATATTTAAATTAAAGATATAACATATAGAAAATTATATTTAAGATACAAATAAAATAAAATAAAGTAATCTTAAATAATATATAATATATTTATAATATTTACAATTAAAGATATAATATATAGAAAATTATAGATTATATTATCGTAGATTTTAAAGACATTTTCGAAATTATATTTAATATACAAATAAAATAAAATAAAATTAAATAAAATAAAAAAAAAATAAAATATAATACAATATAAAAACATAAAATAATCTTAAAAAATATAAAAAATATATTAATAGTATTTAAAATTAAAATATTTAAAATACACATAAAATAAAATAATCTTAAATAATATATAATAAAACGAAATTAAATATAATAAAATTAAATTAAATAAAACGAAATAAAATAAAGATGTCGCAATAAAAAGGAAGTTTTTAATACATTAATAACTTATTAAAAACAAAAAAAAAACTCAGTAAACTTCATAATTACGTTCCAATAATAAATTTTTAATGTAATTAAGTATACGTTAAAAATGTAAGACTGTATAAACTGAATTTATGTTAATCACCATGTAAATGTCTTTACTTCACTCACGTGAGCAGTGAATGTTCATCTCAGTTAAAATATATAAATTAAAATGTCTTTAAAAATACAAAGTCTAAAAAATAATGATGTGTCGACTAATAACAATAAAATCGCGAATTATAAAAAAACCAAGAAATAATATAAAATAGTTTTAAAAAAATATATAATTAATTATTACTTGTGAAATCTTAATATATTTTCACCTTAATATATTTCAATATTAATAATAAATATCAATAATAAAAATTAATACAGAATATAAAATAATGTTCATAAGTTTATTTATTAAAGCTAAGAAATGAAAGTTCTATGAAAAGTGCCATATACATATAATAACTAAAAAAATAACAAATAAATAATAACTGTTAATTATGCATTTTATTTTTTAATATATTGTAAATTGCAATTTGTAATATGTTTCAAGCATTTTTGTCAATATTGTGTTCACATTAATTTAATTTAATTTAATTTAATTTAATTAATATTACAATATATAAAATTTTAAATTGCAAAAATAAGTATGTTAAAGTAATATAATAGAATGAAAAGTAAATTTCAAATTTATATTTTATTGCAAATAAATTTTTTTTAAGTACTTTTATACCACAGATAACACAAATATTAAAAATAAAATTCAAAAATATTAAAATATTTAATATTAAAATATAAGTTGAAAAAATAATAGAAAAGTTTGTTAACTATTAATAATATTAAAATTTTTAAACTTAGTTGAAATAAATAAAAAACTATAACTACTTCTATAATACAAATGTTAATTTTATGATTAGTGAAATGTAAAAATATGTTTTATTTGATAAAATATTAAAAACACATTTTGAAAAATTTTTGTAATAAAAAATAAAATAACAGTTAATTTCGAAGCAATCAAGAAACTACATAAATATACATGATAATAGTATAATAATTTTATAAAAATATAATAATAATATAAGTAATATTATAATAATATAAAATAATAATTGTTATATTCTTCATAGTAATAATTATAAAAGTAAATAACACGGTTAATATTCAAATTGTATCTCTTTCATGTCAAAAGTGAAAAGAGATATAATGGTTATATAGGCACTATTATAATAACAACATAATCATAATAAGATACGTAAAATAAAAGTGAAAATTATTGTATTTATATATTTCATATTAAATTATTTAATATTTGGGAGTACATAGAATAAAGTTAACATAACCATTAACGTTATCGTGTCGAAAACGTGTCACAGTTTTAGTCTTCTTCAGATACATAGTCTATAAGAATTGTGGCATAACGATTCGTGGTGCTAATGCCACAATTGACAATCTTGTATTATTCAAGTAGTCTAGCGATAACAAAGTGCAGAAGTCAACCATTGTACTTTGTTAAAAGCTACGAGGATGAGTATAAAATGTGGGATTTAGGATATAATTTTTCCAACATATAATGAGGTGGGAGAAGGACATTGAAATTGAATCTTACTTCTATTACGAGTCAGGAACTTTGAACTTCAAATTTTAATTTGTGTATACAGTGAAATAAATGATAATTATGATCGGTTGAACTGAAGAAGGGACATTGTCTATTCTTCTTGAAGATGTAAGTCGAAGGAGAATTAAAAACTCAGATACAATTAAGATGTTTATCTGTATAAATAACTTCATTGATTTCTTCAGAATTAGTATAGCAATTGAAAAGGGTAGTCGAGATTCTAAGTGCTGGAAGATATGCTGTAAGAAAAAAAATGAACAGAAAAAGATCCTGATATTTGGCCTTATCTCAGAAATATTTGTATAAACTATTTACTCTAATAAACAAAGAGTAATGAATTATCAAACGTAATAGGGCCTTATTTTTTATTTCATTTATTTTTACAAGAAGTTGACTATATTTTTATGTATAAGTATATGTATTCTGTAGCACTTTACTTTTTAATGAAGTCAAATATAGTACTTAAGGTATTAAGAATATTTAATATATTTTTTATTATTCTACTGGATAATGTTTTTTTAATTATTATACAGTTTTTTGGTATCCATATACATTTATATTAGATATTTAAAATTTATTCATGCTTATTTTGATTTGTTTAAAAAGTTTAAAGTTTCTAAAATGAATCGTTCAACTATCCTGTTGAATTTTTAAATTCGCTGGATTTACCAGGAATGCCACCACATAACTTAAGATTAAAAATTGGCTCACCTATAGAAAAAATTATGGGCAATATACTTGAAGCTACAATTTTGAATGACAAATTTGAAGGTGAAGCTGTTCTCCTGCCATTAATCCCAATGATCCCTTCAGACTCACCCATTCCATTCTACAGCCGTCTGCAATTTTCAATTTGCTTGGCATTTGCCATGACTATTAATAAGTCACAAGGTCAAACAATATCGATTTGTGGGATAGATCTAGAAAATCAGGTCTTTTCACATGGCCAATTATATGTGGCATGTTCTCGCGTTGGAAAATCGTCAAATTTATTCATTTATAATCGTCAAGAATTGACTAAAAATATTGTTCATCAACTCGCATTAAGATGAAATTAAACAAACATTATTGATTATTACGAATTGTTTTTAGAAAAATTGATGTTATTTTAAAATAAAGAATAACAAAATTATTACATTATTTGCCTTTCATTTCTTACTTTTGCCTTAATATCCTAATCGCTTAGTATATCATGCAGGACAACATCTGTCGGGTCCGCTAGTTTTATATATTTTATTGGCAATCATTTATTCATAAATCAATTAAATGAATAACGTCAATCTCTAACATTTTGCTTTTTAACATACCAATGATTAAGAATTAAAAACAATGTTTATGTTAATACATATATTATTTTCGCATGTAGGAATTGCGGCAATTAGTATTTGGTACATCAGCTGTGCCAATGAGAGCTGAATGGACTCAAACACCTTTCATATATGGTGCACCAAAAGAAGAACTACCTTATGGTTTACGTTCACCACGCAATGCAACACGCGGTCTTTTATCAGTGGTACAAGCTTTTGCCCTTAAATATTTTTTATTCAGTCGTAAGGCGCGCTCAAGCTGTAATACGGAGTATGTAGTATATAAATATTGTCATATTATCTAAGAGTTATGTATTTGATCTGATTATATAACATATTCGATACATATAGATATAAATATTGACTATGCATTTGATTTAAGTACAAAATTATATCCAAATAAATTTTGTTCAGTATATTTGTAAAACATATATTAAATTAAATAAACCATCCATAAATATACATATATATACATATATAGTATAAAATCTATTCAATTAATTGTATTTTTTTTTCATTAAGCCTTTTAAGTCCAAGTGTGGAAATGCAACGACTGGCACTGGTTACCGCTATGGTGGAGATATTACGAAATATAGCGGACAAGGGAAAAGTTATTATGGTGTTACATTCACCTGACGATGAACCATTTGTCCCTCACACTGTTACATATTTTCATGATTCAGTAACTGAAAAAGTAATTTTCTATATTATTTTAATGTATTTTTAATGTAATGTAAAATAAATTTTTCAGTTATATGTCTTTACTTTGTCACCTCATGATGAATTGGAATTCTTTATTAAGCGTAACTTTAATCAAGTAAATTTTTCAACACAACAAATATTAACTATTCCATTTTTTTTTATATGAAGAAAAATACAAAATCATAACTATTCATATATATATATTACAGTTTACAGAAGAAGATACGCCTGGTACTCTGCTATTTCTCTATAGCGCAGTCTTAACCCGCACAATGGGCAAGTAAGTATTAATGAAAATATAAGACTTAAAAATATTTATTTACCTGTTCTAAAATAATTTCTATACTTTCTATACATGTTTCTATTTTAAACATATTCCAATCTCTAAGAATACGCACAGATTTAGATTCCAATAACCAACCTTTAACTTTACCGACCAATGAGGAAGGTTCTCTGATGATTGTCACTTTATTGATATCTGGTAGAGCTACGCCTCATATCCACAATGGTGTTATAAATGTTGGAGATGAAAATAGTTATGTATGTAATTTATTAATTAGAGTTTTAAATTCCCATTAGCGATTATATACATTTGAAGGCTGTACCGCAATATGGAATTTTAAGCCGTTGTACAATAGGTTTGTTGTTGTGGGAAAATGAATGCGGACAGGCAAGAAATGTAAGTATTATGTTTATTAATAAGTCAAATATTGCTAATAATAAACTATAATAGATGTTTCTTACACAATGATATACTACCTTTAAAAAATTTTTAATTAGTTATTCTTTTCTGCTAACAGTCCTCCTCGTCAGCACCGGTAGTTATGAGACAACCTGGCTCTCGACTTAAGACACCGACTTCACCTATTTGGGTAACAAGTTGTGCTGGACATTTTGGTGTTCTCTTTAATCAAAATCCGGAATTGTTAAGGAACTATCATGCCGAATCACGATTTGATGTAATGTATTATAGCTGTTCGGGACATCAACTATCAATGACTATTGATAATCGTACTTATAATGAAATGGCATGCAGCATGTTAGAAAGGCAATCACCATCATCTGAAAATAACTCTCTTTCTGGACGTGGTAACAAGGACGAACAAAATGGCAGAGGAAATAGTGTAGATATTATATCGCAAGAAGAAAATACATTAAATACTCCTTTGCAGCGTTTGATACACACAAAGTGGGAAGAGGCACATATACGTTTCCATGGACAGCCGTCACTTTTAAGCTACTTATTTAGCACAAATCAGTAAACCTTCCAATTTTAATTAAGGAAAGTATGCAATAAAATGCTTTATTATATATATATATATTATACATTTAAATATTAAAAAATAAAAATTAAAAAGTTTATTAAAATTATATATGAAACACATTTGATAGATAGAAACAGTTTAATAATATAATAGCGCATTGAACACTAACACTAATTCTTTTCTTATTTATTAAATTAAAATAATAAACTATATATGTGAAACAAACCATATGTTTAAATAGTACTTAAATAAAACGCTTTATTTTGAATGTATGAATGTGTTTTTATTATTAAATAATTTTATATAATTTTTGTTGATAGTACCAAAAATTTTTGAATTTTTGTAATTAAACTTTTTTTATTTGAAATAAAAAATATTTTTATTTTCTTTAGATTGTTTAGTACATTTTAAAATACAAATTTTATGAAATGTAAAAATTTGTTTAAATTTTAATAAAATGAGCTTATATATTAAAGTTTTTTCATTTTAATAACTCCTAGCTAAATTCATTATGATGCTTTATTTAATTATATTTTATTTAAATACAATTTTTATAATACTTAAGAGTTGCTTATATTATAATTCTTGGTATTTTTAATATAAATTAAACTAAATATTGTTTCGTTTAATACAAAATTCTTCATTTTTTAACATTTATATATATATAGATGTATACTTATAAATATTTTATATTTATTTACTCATAAAAACTAATCATCATGTTCAGTGTTTATAATTATACAACAGTTGTCTTTATAAAATATCTTTATGTATACATTATTTTTATTTACAATAAATGTTTTATCTTATATATATTTGGAGATATAAAATATATTTTATTTAGCATATTGCTATTCAAAAGTAGTACGTAATAGATTTAGAGAAATGCACCAGTACATTTTTTTTTCTGTCAGATAATAAGTCTCGCCTAAGTATATATATATAGAGTATAACTTTATATTTATTCCAACAAGTATTATAAGTGATTAAAAGTTAAAAAATTTAATAGTGATTTGAAGTGTTCCAACAATTTTTATAGTCAGTTTATGACATGTTATTTTATGGTAGTTTATCAGTTAAACTAATGCAATTTTGCAATAAATTATAGTTATATATAATGTAATTTTTTTATTATACCCAAACTAAACCAATGCGCCCATAATATAAAAATAAAAATTTTAATAAATACAATAACATAAAATGAAGAAAAGATTGTTAATATTGTTCCAACAATTTTTATAGTCAGTTTATGACATGTTATTTTGTGGTAGTTTATCAGTTAAACTAATGCAATTTTGCAATAAATTATAGTTATATAAAATGTAATTTTTTTATTACACCCAAACTGAACCATTACGCCCATAATTCAAAAATAAATAATTTTAATAAATATAATAATAATAAAATGAAGAAAAGATTGTTAATATTGATTTTTTATAGCAGTAAAGGGGGAATTATATACCGTATACGCAACAGAATATGATAATATATAATATATCTCCTATATATTTACCTATATTTATCTTTAGTTTTTTAATTTGAAACTAGTGGATCAGGTTTTAAAAAAAATTAAATAATTTCTGAAAAAATTGTTATATTTTTTAATAATATTACTTCTTAAATAGCAAATTTTTAAAATTGGCTTTTACGGTTTACGTGAAGTTATTTTCACGAATATTTTGGTCATCTTGTTATAGTTATTTCTAAAAAAATTTTGTTTATATATATGTAAAGAATAATAAAGCTTTTGCAAAATTAAATATTGTTTTATCTACATAGTAAATTACCTAATAATATTCTTTTTGTAAATTACATAGAAGGAGATTCTTTCCGTTACTGCTATGTTATGCTCCCATAAATGTGTTTTGTCAATATTTGAAGAATTATTTAAATCAGAAAGGAAGATGTAATAGTAAAAATATATTAACCAATAAAAATTTCATAAGTTTGAGCAAGTAATGAATATTTATAGTGAAATTGAATTGAAATCGAAGCAAGTTGTGATGCTTATAGTGAAATTGAAGTATGCAAGAAGTATGTGAGAGATATTTTTAAAATAGTAAAATTTTCCAACTACCATATATAAAATGAATTGGGAAATATTTATTATGTTATTAAAATATAAATAGTTTTAATAATTGGTAATTTTTATATAAACAATTTGAGATAAAAATTTATGATTTATAACATTCATTGTAATTCAATTAAATTTTATTTATAAAATTTTATAGTTTAAGTCGTTATCAAACATAGATAAAACGTATGTACGTTAACGTATGTGTCTAAAGCAAATTATATTTTAAAAAAATTCAAATGAACATTATGTAACAAATTTAGATTACCATAATGTAATGTAGCTATAATAACAACAATATTGTAGTAGTAGCGTATTAGAGTCTAGAAAGCAGGCAAGTATATTCAAAATAAGACTTGCAAAAAAGTATAAGTGAAAGGTCTTGATCTACGCTAGCTTGAATTTCAGTCATCCACATCCTTATTACTTTTGTATCCTACACAATTATTTTTGTTCACCACCTACCTACACTATCATTTATTCCAATCTATATTAATAAGTTGTACTAAGTTGTGATCATTCATATTGTTATCCCTCCTATATGCCACCCCATCCTTCTTCTTTTCCGCCTTCCCTTACCTCATTCATTTTAGCCATGTATTCGTATTTATGCTTCCTGCTTTATAGATCTCCATGGGCTACATCAACGACAACAACATGGTAGGCTAGGTAAGTCCAGGTGGATAAACTTTGCTATCTGAATAATTTTAAAAACATAAGGATCCTTCGAAAAATGAAATTTTTGTTTGTAATTTCTGACATTTGTTGTACTGTAACTAACTTTCTCGAAAATTTCGACTGGCTTAAATTATATTTGACTTTCTCGTAAATTTCAACAGCCTTAAATTATATTTGACCCTACTTTATACAAGAAACAGTACTTAAATAAATTGAAATTGATTAACAAGGATTTTATCACGGTTTTTTATTGCTTTGTTTTTTTAACGATTTGTCACGCAAATAAGATTTGCATTTATGTGAATACTTTGTGAACTGCTATTTTTTTTTTGAATATTCTATATAACATAGGTATTAAAAATTTATAAAAGGTAATTAGATGATAAAGTTGTCACATTTTCACACCTATTGTTTAAACACAATTTCAATGAAGTTACTATGCCTAGTTACTGGTTACAATCGATTTACTTTATACAAATAAATTAAATTTCTAATCGAAAATTTTCAAAAATAAAATTGCATACAACAAAAATAAAAAAACGAAAATTGTAATATCAATATCGCATGACACTCTCCATTTTATTAGTTATAATCATGATTATCAGTACATCAATAGTAGTTCATATTTTATTTTTAAAGGCTCAGAAGGTACAATGAATTTGTTCAAGTACGTTCCTCAGTCAAAAACTATGTAAATTGAATTTAAACTTATACTTAAATATAAAAGCTATTTCAGAAAGTTTTTTTTTGCAACTACTATTAATTAAAATTTTTTTGTAAAAACAAAAAAAAATAATTTTATATAAACAAAAATATTTTTTATAGCATTACATATAATTATATTAAATACATTAGTTCTGCTTTTTTATGAGTCGCAATAGCGATACTTCAAAATATTTCATAATTTAGAGACATAATATTTGGAAAATGGTATTTTATATAAAATTATTTTACAGAAGCAAAGATTTTATTTTCTATTAGTTTATAATTTAAAGGAACTTTTTAAACTATAATAAAATTACTTTTTTTGTTTCAAATATATTAGTTAGTTTTAAATTCTTAATCAAATTAATATAAATATAAATATAATATATAAAATAATTATGAAAAATACATGTACATTTTGGTTAAATAATATTAAGATAAATTTTGAAATCAAATAATAAATTCTTATTTTTAAAAAATTATGTCTTTCTTAATAATTAAATAATTCGATATAATAAAAAATTAATTTATGTAGCAGTAAAAATATATATATTAAATAAGTATTGCAATTACTCATTAATTTTTACATCAGTGTAATAAAATTTCTTTAGTAAAGAAATTTTGTATACGTATATATTAAATGTATAAAAGATTCGTTTTTTAATGAATAAGTAAAAAAAATATTTATTTACATTTTTACAATTCAATATTCAATTACTATATGGTTTTATTAGATCTGTACAATTCTTTATAGCCATCAAACACTAAGTGCTCACTCATTACGGAAAACATTTGGCTTAAAAATTAATAAATTTAAAAATTTGTATGTTTTAGTTAATTTATATATTAAGAATAAATACTACTTAAATGTATATGTATATATATATGCATATAATATAATATATATAAATACGATTTTCACTTGTTCTTTGGTACCCCATAAATTTGCTTTTTGGTTTCGGTGCTTACTTACGAGTATACAAAATTTGAGTTTTTTATTTAAATTTAATTTATTTAATACAAATGTAATTCTGATTAATTTAATAACTATAAATGTTTTACAACAACTTTAATAAGAATTGTTGATTTTTATTTTCTCACTAATAGCTTATGAATGCTAACTAGATTTGTATCACGGTATTTAGTCATATTGAGAGGTGCAGCATTTTCATTTTTTTTAGTTTGTGTGTGCCATGTTAAAATCTGAAACATATTTGAAAACATGTTTTAAAACCATATTAAAAATCAATTTTAACTCATACATTAAGTTTATTATACATTTACCTCTGTACAATTTGATGCCAGTAATTCAATTTCTGTTACATTTAATGGTGATAAACTCTTGAGAAAACCATCTTCTTCATAACCCGGCTTAAAAGGCATTTGCGCTGTTGGACGTTCATGTAGAAATTTCACACTAACAGCGAAGCCAGCCATATCAACGGGATATTTACGTCCACCGATCCAGCCATCATAATATCCAGAGATTGTACCGTTTCGTATAATTGGGCTGCTCACACCGAATTTTGTTACCAGTCCTACTGGCCACATGGAAACCTTTTTTGTATAACGCATCTAAAAGAATGTATATAAATAAGACAAAAGAATTAGTATAAATACTTTTTAAACTAACTTCTTCAAATATTGATATGTCATAGGTGTTATCATCATCAGCGAAGTAAAAAACTCCCTCTGTTGCATTTTGTCGTAACCACTCCAGACCACGATTACGGTTGGACACACCCCGAGGTAATGCCTTTTTATTCTTTTTATATTTTTCTGGCATTGGAGCTGGAATATACAATTATTTATACAATTGATTTAAAAAATAATCTTTTTTAGTTTCCCATTATAATTAAAAGTAAAATGTTATTATAATTCGGATGCGTAAAGACAAATATTAAAGAAAAGTTAAAGTATATATGGGATATAATAAATAGGTGATATGTTTCGAGGTTGTATTTTATTTGAAAGCGTAAACTAATTAACACAACAAATTTGATATTTATACTAGCAATGATATCTATGCTGTAAGGACATTATCAGTATATATCAGACAGATTTTCAACTGTCAAGTGGTAGATGAAAGAAATTATAAGGTCTCTATTATACGAACTCTGTATACCTGTCGGACTTCTTATGATAGGTCGTCTATCAATTATATACGACTATAATCAAAAAAAAATATTAATCTTATTATCTAATCTAATCTAATTAATATAATCAATATTAACAAATTTCTGATTATAAAAGTTCAACTAATGTTTAAGAAAGGATAACTGGACATTGCTTCATTAAAAGATATTTTCTGAAAATGCTGCCAATTTTACAAACAATAGACTAAAGTTTTTCAGTAACAATAGACTAAACTATAAGACAGGTGTGGTAACTGTGCACACATACATTAAGACCGAAAAGTTTTCGGAAATTCTCATTTAAAATTCGCGCGCTGTATATTTTTCGATATTTTAAGTTTATGTAGTTTGGCAGCAATGTCCTTAATTACTATGCCAAAAATGAGCGCGATCTGTCAGACAGTTCGTTTACGGCAGCTGTTGAAACCAGTTCACCTCAGTAGTGCGTTGCGAAAAAAACAATGGAAAAAAATATTGAACAAAGAGTTTGCATCAAATTTTGTGTTTCGAACGAAATTTCGTGTGCAGAATCGTTGCGAATGCTACAAAAGGCTTATGGGGAATCAGTTTTATCGAAAACTCAAGTTTATGAGTGGTACAAAGCCTTTCAGGACGGTCGTACGACCGTCGAAGACATTTCGCAACGCACTACTGAGGTGAACTGGTTTCAACAGCTGCCGTAAACGAACTGTCTGACAGATCGCGCTCATTTTTGGCATAGTAATTAAGGACAGTGCTGCCAAACTACATAAACTTAAAATATCGAAAAATATACAGCGCGCGAATTTTAAATGAGAATTTCCGAAAACTTTTCAGTCTTAATGTATGTATTTTCGTTGTCACTGTTTTTTTTTATTTCCCTTACATTTTTATTTCTTTTTTGTTTGTTATTATACATACATAACATGTGTTTATAATTTCATAATGTTATATTTCGCTAGTTCCTTGAAAAGCTAAACCGGCGAATTAAATCAGGTGTCGATTCTGTGTATACCGGGACATACTGGCATATGTGAATGAATACTCAGACCAGTCAGGAAAGGAGCAGCGACATCGGTCATAAAGCTTGAATCTTTCTGTTGACTAGGACACAGTACCCTCCTCTTTCTTGGAAATGTGAAAACTTACGGAAAAGGCGATAAAACTCTGTAAAGTAAGCTCAATACTACTTATTATTGACCTAACAGAGTTTAGAGACTGATCTAATCGGACATAATAGACCCGATGGTCGCAGTGCCACATCACCCTCTTAGTAATAAATATCGAAAGAAATCAAAATATCGGAATATTTTTCTATTAAAAAAATTTAAAAACAATAATTTGTGTTTTCCATAGCTGATTAATTAGTACGTTGTATAATTAATATAAACGTTTAACTCTACCAGCAGTTTAGTTTGTTTATGGAAGAGTGCCGGTCAAGCTTCTAGCACGTGTTTTGCAATTTTATTCTGTACCCTATAAAATCTATAAATTCCATTACAATGAATTCTCTGTTTTATTAAGTAATTATTTGATTCAGTCTACTGCGCCCTACCTGAACTCCTGTATTTGATTTTTGAATTATTATTGTTTAATTTCAAATTAATTTTGAAATTTACTGTTTTTGAGAACTTTGTCCGTAACAGTTTAAATAGAGACAGTTTATATATTTTATAATGTGATAAATGTGCTAAATATGTGTGATTGCCATATATAATCGTTATATATAGAGTACAACTTCCAGTACTAAAGTACTAAAATTATTAATGTGATGTAAAGGTATTAAAATAAAAATAAAAGTATTATTATTTTTCAAAATAATAAAATAAAAAGAATTGTTTTTCTTGAATTTTATATTCGAGAACAATGTATCTATATATTTTGAATAATAAATGTATCTCTATAAAGTGATAAATAGTGAAGGAATTTTACTATAAAAATGAATTTTCTGGGCTGAACATAAGTTATTTTTTAATATACTTTTAAAATTTTAAATGGTGTGATAATTATGTTTTTGAATAATTATATATAATTATATTATTTCTTAATTTTATTTAGTAAAATAAGAAATGTATTTACCTATCAGGTATATATAAGGGACTCCAATACGATTTAGTGTGTGTTGTACTAATGGTGATGTTTGATTGGCGTCTTCGATTACTAACCATAGTAAGTTGGTAATATGCTTTAGTGTGTAGCCGAGACGTGTTAACTCAGCTAATTGTTCCGGACGGCGGTATGTAGGCGTAATAATGTATAAAGGAGGAGGCTGTAAAAAATTAACATAGTTAATATTTTAATACCTATATAATGTTTTTAAAAATATATATATATGAGTAAGTTACAAATAAATTAACAAGCAAGCATTAATTAAAGAAATGAAAAACTGTCATGCAGTAGAGTAGTTAAGAGTTAATTCACAGTAAAAAATATTACGTTGTTGCATGTAAACAAGTTTATTTATTGTTTAATATTTAATTCTGTTAGTATTTTGTAATTTTACAAATATGAATCGATACAACGAAATATTGTAATATAGTGAGATATAAAAAATAAAAATAAAAATTGCAATTTACTTTTACTTTGCTTGCACCTTTATATTAATTATGGTAATTGGTAGCATATTATAATCAAATGAATTTGTGGTAACAAAGTTTTTGCTCAAGACAATATTTTAATTATAATTATAAAAAATTAATGAATAAGTAAATAAATTGTATAAAAGAATTTATTTAAATAAAAAAAATATATTGCTATATATACTAAAATAACTTTTAGGAATACAAAACTAATGCAATAACCGTAGGTAAATAATATTTGGTTAACATAATAGATATGTAAACATAGTTATTAAAATGCGCTATTTTTATATAGCATATATGATGGTGGGTTATTTGTATTTTGAATTAAAAAAAATAATTGCTAAATTAATATGCATATAAAATTACATATTGGGGCTTCGATCTGCTAAAAAAGGCTTTATGATTTTATAATCCTCGTAATTTTGGGTATAAGGTTGGGCGTTGTAGAACCAATGTCTGATTGGTTCCAGACTTTAAACATGTTAAGGATTAAGTTTTTTATTGATTTTAGTCAGTTAGAAGCTCTTTCTTAAAATGTTTTTCTAAAAAGACGCTAGATATTTTAAAGCTTTTGTGTTTTATTCTTTTATACAATAGGTTATTACGACCAACTTTATAATCTCGGAGTAGAAGCGAAATAAGAAGTGGCTGTACAATAACGCACAGCATTTGGTAGGCAAATTAAATGTTGAGTATTCACTCAAGACATCAAATTTAAAAGGTGAAGTTAAATATAAAACGGTTCAATTTTATGCTATATGTATACACAAGTATCTAGGGTTCATTGAAATAAAGTATATATTCAGTTATTTCTCCCAAAAATAAACAGAATAAATAAAATAGATGATTTGCGTTCACAAATCATATCTTTATCTAAATAAAATTATTTCAAACCTAATTTTTGTTATATAAATTGATTCATATTATGATCTGAATTAATATAATAAATTTAAAAGACAAATTTTTAAAACGATTTGAACAATTTTAGTGCATTTAGTAACAATTATTTGACATCAAAAAAATTTTAGATAAAAGTTGTTATAACAAACAAAAGATACATGCTATTAAAGTTGTTATAAATAAGCTAATTTAACCGCATGCAGTTTGTTCTAAAGCAAATATTTACATTAAATAATTATATAAAATTTTCTAAATTCATTTGTTATTTGTATCTTATGCAGTACGCAATTTTTAAATTAAGCACATGCAAATTTTAATTTGGAATCACAGCATTGCATATTTGCTCGTATATGGAGAACTAAATGTGAAATGGTTATAACAATAGTCGATTGACCTAAAAAACTAAATTCACTACAAAATGTAACTAATCTATTAGATGTCAGATGTGTGACGGCATTAAAAAATTAGAATGCAACTGTTTAAAGAATGCCAGTAGACTAACGCAATACAAATTGATGCATGGAAATTATAGAAGGTCATCTGTTTAAGTAGTTGATTCAAATGGCAGTAATAATTTCTTATTGTAAAGCACAGAATTTACATAAATCCACATAGAAATATTTGAGATTTCTTAAAAGATCATCAAATGTATTTTAATTTTATATTAGATGTACAGCAAAGCTAATGAATTCAAACGCAAATCTTAATTATAATCACAGAGCTGTATAATGACATCAAATGAAGAGCATATCGTATATTATAAAATTATTAACATAATTATTTAGAAGTATTCAATGTGGATTAGCTTCCCAAAAATCTATATATTGCTAATTTCTATCTGATTTAGCGAATTTCACATAATAATGGACTTAACTCGGACCGGAACCCAAGTAAGTGCAAACGATACCAAAAGTATATAGAAGTTAAATATTGTTTTAGTTAATTTAATATTAAAAGTTAAATATTCTTTTATTTAAACTTAGGAGCTACCGAAGCCAAACGGGACTTTTCCAGACAAACAAGTGGATGTCCCGTTTGGTAGTAACCATGCGTTCGAACAATATCGCATGATTGCTCCGTTAATGAAACTAAGCACAGGGCCGGATTTGGGGTACGCGGGTGTTAACTTACATATGTCATGCGATTAAAACGTAGAATTGGAATCGCATCGAAGTAAGCGAAGAGTATGTAAGTTTTTTCACATACTTGAGAAACATTGTACAAATTAACTTTCAAATAGCTAATTAACATTTGAACAGAAAAAGAAAATACTAAAGCATTTCCTGATTTTGGCTGTAAATTTGGAAAATGTTAGAACAAAACCTCAAGCCGGAAACAGCAATTGAAAATCAAATCCAAACCTATTCACAGGATAGAACTAAATTAATTATGCAATAAGTTTTAAATGATTATAATGACATTTTAACATGTTTTATTCTGCAAACCGCAAGACAGGTCTAACAGATCTTAATTTTATAGAATAAGTGCATTTACTATAATTGTTTATATTTTTTTAAAAAATTTGAAGGGAACTAAGAAGAAGAAAAATATTACTCTATTGAACAAATCAATATTATTTATTATTATTTAGTAATTATTTAGCTATTATTTAGTAAGTTTTGAGACTCACTTACTAAAAACATAGTTTCAGAGGTCTTCATAATCTAATTCTGACCACTAACTATTGAGTTTGTACAACAGCAGAACAAAATCAATTTTGTTTTCTGATGTAAAAAAACTGTTGTGTTAATTAAATAATTACTTGCTAAAAATATACGAGAAAAACCAAAAGTTTGTTACATAAAACAATTATACGGCCTGTAGTCACTTATGGGAATGAAACCTGATGCCGAAGCAAATAAATTGGCGGTATTTGAAGGAAGGATTATGAGAAAAGTATTTGGAGCAGTGCAAGAAAACGGAAAATATCGCTTAAAATATAAAGATGAACTCGATCAAGTGATGAAAGGTAACGCAATAATCACATAAAAAGTGGGTAAGACACCTTGTGCGAATACCAGAAGAAAGAGCAGCAGCCAAAATATTCGAAAGTGAAATTAGAACGATGAGAAGAAAAAGAAGACCGGGAAAGAGATGGAGTGACAGTGTTCGACAAGATCTGAGAGATATGAATATTATCAACTGGAAGACGATCAAAATATTTGAATGAAATTTTTCTTTAATATGATTGTGGGAACATGATTTACCACTTTTTTGAATATCTCAAGAAATATGACAGACCCTAAATACTTGTACTATAGCATTTAGATTCAAAAAATTGCGTAACATTCACACTCATTTTTATAATTTTTAAATAAATTATTTACTTCTATTAGATTAAGTATATTCGTAACATATATAAAAATACAACTTTAAGCAAAAAATGGTCTGATCTGCCTAATTGTTTTTGTAAATATGGATAAAAGTTAAGTCTACTATCAGGAACTTGACTTGAAACATCAAACTAAGAAGTTGTGCGAACCCTGTATTTCGAGTCCGAAACGAGTTTGTGCCCCAAAAATGTAAAAATGTAAAAAGAGTTTTGTAAACTGGTAAAACAATAAAACCAAATTATTGCTGTAAACTTCTGGACCAACCATATTTCACAAAGACAGTGTCCTGATCATGCAGCTTGAAAAAGCATCGTTAAAATTAGTCAAATAAACTATATGTGCTGCAAATTTTTGTAACAATCAGCCTCTTTGTTACATTCAGTTCCTAATTTTAACTCTACTCACACTTTAAAAATTGTTTATTAGGGAACGATTTTCATAGTAGCTAACAATGAAAAGTATTTTATGGACTTTCTGGATGAACGTTTTTAAAGCTTATTGAATATGAGATTTTGTTTAAATAAACCATAAACAAACAAAAAGATCAGTGCTGACAAATGGTATTATCTTAGTATTGACTACTACTATTCACATCATCAAAACGTGAAATTGTACGCCAGGGAAGTTTCTCGCGAAACAAAGCCAAAAAAGGACGTTTTGTGAGACTTGTGGCACTGTTCTGTGAAACCACATATCTTTCACAGCTATATCTTTATTTTCATATAGCTTCATTTCTAAGTCAAAAAGCAGCGAGATTGATAGTTTGAGTCAAACGCTTGTCATTTTTAAGATACTGCAGAGATGGGATACATGGGCTACAATCGTTGGAATAAGTATGTTGTAATTGAGAATGATTATAATTAAAAACAAATTTTTTTTAAACTAAAAACAAGTGTTTTCATTTTATTGAAACACATAAACTCCGAGATTATACAAGATTACAGTTAAATAAATTGTTTTTATTTTATAATTGACAACCATGTTTGCTAGCCACAAATTTCTTAAGAATATTATTATTTGAACAACTAAATGACTGGATTTTTAATACATAGCATGTTAAGTTCATATGGACGATCAAATAAATGTGTTCATAAGGTTGGTTATGAGATTTTCAATATTTCTACCCATTTTTACAAGACAAAGCCTTAATTTTACTTTTTAGCTAATTGGGCAATTAACCTCTTTTCTCTGGGCTTTACAACCTACTATGATCATATATGGTTTATACAAAAGATATTCCTCTATTTATATTCTTACAGTTAATATACGGTTATTGAGTATTCAAAGTCTTGAAACTTGCAAATAAACAAGGGTTAATGGTTTAATATGAAGGAAAAAAATGGTAGCACTGATAGAAGTTCCAAAAACGATAAAGTAAAGACATTTGTTTTACTATTTAAGTCATAGGTTAGGTTAGGTTATACCGGCTATCCCTAGTGGATCCACTTAGGTCTAGTGGCCTACGGGGTATCGCAATGAAAATTTTGGATTTCCTTTTATCAGAACGTGGCCAGATTGCATACAGATGTCTGCATATCGTTGAGTCTTCTCATCTTTTATTAAAAATATTGAAGTGTTAGAAATCAATAGAAATTAAATAAAACTGAAGAATTTTATTTATAACAACTACAATTTCTGCACTACTTTATACGGAAAAGCAACTAACTCAAAATATATAAGAGTGTCATTGGAGTGCAAATAAAAATAGCTAATAAAAAATAATTAAGAAAAAAATGATATTTGGTATTTACGGGCACTACTTCCGGTACAAAGGAGTTTGTAATTTTTGTGGATTTTGTTCGTATTTCTGTAGTTAATCTTGTACGTGTTGTTGAGGCTGCGGATTGAATGGCTGATTTTCCAATGGTTTTACCTGATGTTATCGTAGCGTTTTTAGTAGTTGATGTTGCTATTGTAGCACTTTTAGTGTTATTTGTATCTGAATGTAATTTTAATTTTGCTCTTAAGTTCTTGTTGGATTCGAAATTCACATACATATTATAATTGTTACTATTTTTATTATTTGCAAAAGTATTATTCGTATTGTCTAAATTTTGAAGTGTTACTACATTCAAAATGGAAGGTTTCTCATCCGTAGATGATGTTGTTGATGAAATGCTTGTATTCGATAATGATGATGATGATGATGATGATGTTGATGTTGATGTTAACGATAATTTTATTGTTGTAGATGATACTAATGATGATATCGATGTGTCTGTTACTTGAGATGTTAATGATACTTCAGGCACCGATACGCCCGGTGCCTGAGATAATGATGATGTAGAGATCTTTCGTTGTTGACTTGTCAGTAATGATACTGGCGACCATAAGAATAGATTATATCTGTTTAAAAAGGATGTTGTTTTTAAAAGTTTAACGTTTCCAGTTTCTTCAGCTGTTATCTCAGTTCCAACTAAATTACTTGAATCTTTGCTCTGTAAAAACAAATATAATTCACAAAATGGCGATTGATATTCGAATAATAAAAACTCATGTGAAAAAGTGAGGACGTGTGAGAAACATAAGTTTTATATTAATTCTAAAGCATACTTAATAATAATATATGAAAATTACTTAACTACTAATCTTAAGTGGTGATTGTCTGTAACTTATATACAAGAACTTAAATTTTGTGCATTTTTGCTAATAAATAAATTTGCTAGTGAGTGTTAAACTTACTGAAATTCAGTGCCAATACCAAAGGAAAATATTTTATTCGTAACAAATTTTATCAAGATACTCTATGTGAATAGAAAAGTACACAAAAACTATTCTAAATTTTCTTCCAAACAAAAAATTTAAATAGAGACTTTATTGTAGAGAAAGATAGTAGTGATGTTACGACTTACCTTTAAGAGTTCGGGTGATGTTATGGGTTGTCGTGATATGTGATACTGATACAGTACCATGTATATGCATGTGGTTGCTACAAAAATTGTCAGGTACATTTTAATGGATTTTCCCAGTGCCATTTTGTCTGTTTGCTCAGTTTATTTTGGTTTCCTGTTTGTTTTTTTCTTGTTTTAAAATTTATTGTTTCGTGTGTGAGGATTGTTTTCTGCTGTTCAATACTCGTATTCTGTGCGTGATTTGATGTGTTATTTTATCTGTTCATGTCTTGTGTTTTTTTCGTGTTGGCTTAGTTAATTTTTTATTTTTGTTTTTCATTCGTTTTACTTTAGATTATGAAATTTATCTTTATACCTTAAAGATAGTCTTAAATTTTAATGCAAGTTTACAGCTACTAATGATTGTTTTATGTTAATATTCTAAATTACTTAATAATATCTCTGGTAATATATAATTTTAGTTGTTTTAAACCTAAAAAAGATATGTTTAATTAAATTTATTCATATTAATTCCTAAATCAGGGTATGAAAATGAATCAAAATAAAATTATAGTTGGAAATATTTTATAATAACAAAATTAAACAGATTGCTTTTCCTAAACATATCAAGAACGTTTCATTAAGCCATATATTAGGTTTAAGTTAAGCCCTACATCAATTTTTAGTCATTTAAATATCCATTGGTTGAAATTAGTTGGATTAGCTGAGATTGGTTCCGACTTTATCAGCATAAAGACGCTGGTGTAGTTCTTCGATCCAAACAAAATAGTATCGACTGATATACAAAGTATTAAAGGGAATTCTATTCGATAATAAAATGCAGTCATATGAAATAATATATCTCAAAAATGATTGCAGTCATTTCATACGATTGCATTTTATTCTCGGATAGAATAGAGTTTGTATATCAGTCGATACTATTTTGTTTTGATCGAAGAACTACATTCCCGCCTTCATGTTGATAAAGTCCAAAAAAACCGTTTATAGACGAAATTATATACTTTCGACATCGTGTTTTATTAAAAATAAAATTATCATAAAAAATTTATATAAGAGTGATCAATAGTAGCATGGGAAAATATTTCCTCTTATGGTCAGATTATTAGTTCTAGTTTTTAAGTTCTTTGTATATTGAAAGAAGATGGGTAAAATTTTTTTAAAATCAATTCGTTGTTATATTTTCGTGTCTGAAAAAGTACTTTTTCAGTTTCGAGTAACTTACATCTTAATTTAAACGTCATTTAATATTATTTTCCTTAAAACTTTCGACAAAGATGCTAAAAAAGGTATTATTTTATTAAAAAAATTTTTTTTTCGTGTTTTCTTTAATATATATTAAAATTATTAACGAGGTTATTAATTTTTCAACTAAAGAGAAAAAAAATATACTCTTCTTATATATTGAAATAAAGAGTTTTCGTATAAAAATTAAAAAACTGTTTTTATTGAAAAGTTTACATAAACCGTTAAATAACGATCTTACTCGTATGAATAGAATGTGAACTCAAAATATTAAGTAGTGACTAGTAGGTTTTTTTTATGTGATTGATATGAATTCCAACTTTTAAGGCGATTTATATGCTATGTGATATTTTATCAATTTAGTAAATAATGCCGGTTTTTTTGTTCCAATCAAACAAATTAATACATTTTTAAGTTGAAATTTTAAATCTTTTTCTATAAATATCACTTCAGTTTAAGATTTAACTACACTTCTTAATACCACATTCCGTTAAATGGGAAAATTTTTGTTTAAATCATACATAACAAATTTTAGTAATTGAAAATATTAATTAATTATTATGTTATAATATTATTTTTTATGTTATTATATTATATATTGTATTTTAAAAATAATTATGATTTTAACATTAATAATCCTTCTATTTATAGATGCAAAAATCTGGCATAAAAGTAGGATTTTAAGATTTATAAAAATTATAAAAACATATTAAACTGATTTGTTAACAAACTTTTAAAAAAAAATTTAATTAGAAGGAATTAAATTAAAAAATCTTACTATTAAAAATTATCATACCGTTCTTGCTTTTTATATAAATTAACAACAAATTTAGCTAAAAAATATTTAAACTTTAAATAATTTAACTTTAGATTTTTGGTTTTTATTCTGCTTTTAGAATCTGTTGAGTTTTTACGTGTGCAACCAAAACTTTAATTTAAAATATAATAAATTTAGTATAAAACCGCTTCAATTTTCAAACCCTGATTTACAAATTGTATATACATAATAAAATTTTCTAGTACTTACAATAGTTTCTTGCGATTAGAACATCTTCTTGCAAACAAACTCATGTTTACTGTAATAGTTATTTCGGTTTCTTCAGTTCAATATTTCTGAAAAATATAAGAGAATAAAATAACAATGAATATAAGAAAAAGTAAAAAACTTATATATACAGCAAACAGGGTGCTCAAATAATGGAACAACTCCGAATATGTTGGATAAAATTCATGGTTTTAATAATAAAACTTTAAAAAAATTCAACTGAAATATTTATTATTATCTGCTACTAACCAATTTTTTTTGAAGATTTCGAAGAATTGAAATTTTTAGATATAAAAAAATTGGAATGTTGTTATATATTATATATTATATTTATGATTATTAGCATTCATACAAAATAATTGTGGTAAAAATATATTTTTAAATATATAAATACATTGAATTTCATACGTATAACTGTATGGAAAGGGTATTACGAGTAAACTTCCAGCAAAGAAAAGTATTAATTAATTTAGATGTAAGATGTGTTTTATTCAAAAGTGAAACTAACCACAAAGTGAACAATTGTAAAAAGTTTTTGACAATTTTTTCGAATTTAATAATTAAATTAATTTTTGTAATAATAATTACAAAATCCAAAACAGTTTGAAAATTCTTTTGATAGACCATTTTAGTTCTGTTAAAATACTACACCATATATTAGGTCGTAGAACCGAAACTGAACCGTAAATCAAAAACCGACGTTTCTGATGAAGCGAAAACAAGAACTAAGTCGAAAAAATATATAGATTTATTTCGGATCAGCTTATGCTATGTTTGCCAAGAGACATCATTTTATATGAAGTATATAAATGTACTTATATATTGTAAATATATAATAGCTCAAGGCAATGAAAAAAATTGATTTAGCATACTGCAGTTCGGTCACTTTTATCCACGCGCATATCCCTTCTGTTTAAACTTTAATGAATGAAAGTTTAAAGTTGAAGAAAAGTTTTCATTTATAAACCTAGCAGTTTGTTATTTTATTGTATAAATTTGTTAACTGTCTTATTTCAAAAGAATGAATAAAATGATTTTTATTATGACAAAAAACTAAGTTGTAATACATAAAGAATATTTGCTGGGACGGAATAACTAAATCGAAAACCGATATATTTGCAGGGACTAAACTTGTAATTTTTTATTAAATGAACCAAAAAATTTTCAGTATATTTATAGAATATACAATTAATATACATTTTAGTTGATTATTCACTTTTTTTTAATAAAATTTGTACAAAAGAACTTATTTTGTATATATTACCAAAATATTTTGCTGATTGCATTTAATAATATTGTTTTGAAATTTACCTCCATATTTATTAGTATTAGTATTTGATGAACTCAAACATTAGTTATGCGTGACACTGCGCCCATTGATGGATGATAATACCCTATATTTTCCATAATTACCGAAGGTATTTTCAATTTGACTGTATTAAATAAAATCTTAATTTTTTCCAGATCGATGTTTGATGACTGTATCCATGTTTATATTATACAAGTTCCTAATCATACGCCTATACTTAATTATGTTAATTACTATAGTTATAATATACAATATAATTTATAATAAAATATAATCGGGTTGCAACAACAACTACATGGCCGATTATACCCTGTTCTTTTCATAATTACCGAAGGATATTTTCAATTCGATTGTATGCAATAAAATCTTAATCTTTTCCAGATCAATGTTTGACGACTCTATCCATGTTTATATTATACACATTCCTTAACTTACACTTACACTTAATTATATACTTAAATATTCATTACTACAGTTGTGATATGCAATATAATTTTATTTTTTTATATTATTATTGGCTATATTATTATGTTATTAAGCCAGATATTTATGTGAAAAGCATGTGTTGTATTGTCCCACACCGTTTTGTTAAAACTAACTTCTGATTAAAATTATTGACAAACTGATTTAAATTATGTTCATTATCAATAATATTTATAATAGTACTAATAAAAAAGTAATAAATGTCTAAACTTAATTGGACACTTAAAATAAGTGTAGTAACTGACCATAAAATTATTTGTTTTAAACGATATAATCTATATTAATTTAAATTTGTTTTATTATTTAATTGCACAGGTTTAAATTACCTGATAAAATTTGTGATCAAATATTATGGTCAAAAATTTTACATAGTTTAAATTAATAACGATAATGATAGTTAAACAAAATATATTTGTGATGGATAGGTTAATGAGAAAAAAATTGACACATTTTGAATCTACATGTGACAACCATTAATAGGTTAACATAGTAGCTGATTCGGAATATTGATTGCAGTATAATTGTAACAATGTTATGAGGTGAAGTTAAAATTATAATAGTAAAGAAATTAAAATACAAATTATAAATAAAGAAAATCAACAATTATATATTTTGTTTATGAAAGACTTTTACAAGATAAATGGTAGGATTAAAAATTAAGTTGAAAGTATTCAATTATAATGTAATAACTCTTTTATTTTGATTGTTTATATAAAGTAAGAGGCATAAGCGTCTAATGTATAAGTTAAATAAAAGTGTATATAAGTCAAGTTTGCATAATGCAACAGTTGACAGATCGGAAAAGCCATAGAGTGTATAATATATATTATTATTGATTTGCTTGATGTATTTAATTGAGTTACTAACGCTTATAGATCTGTATGTTTTTCGGTGAAATGAATAACTTTTTATGTAAACTTTAACAATCACATTTTTGTTATTTAGTTTTACTAAGGTTAGTCCTTAAACTATCAAATAAAAATATGAAATAAACTTTTTATAATTAAGGGTTAAACTGGTGGAGGTAAGCTACTTTCATTTTTATTTGTTGATTTGGTTTAGAATTATTTGTTTTTGACAAAAAAAAATAAAACTAATATCAACATTTAGAAATTTAATAATTAATAAGTCGATAAGTCACCTTTGTAATATTGTATAACGTTTTGAAAAGTAGAAGTAAATTATAAATGTATTTAAAATTACAGAAAAATGGGGTAAAAATAATACTTACTAAGTTAAGTCGAAAATATACTTTAACCTTGTTCAATTGTACATATAAGGAAATAAAAACACAAATCAATAGATAACACAAACAGATAATTTGTCAATGCATCAATTGCGTATTGAAACATAATTAAATAAGTATTGTATTTAAACAAAAAATCAACTGAATTTAATGTTTTAATTCAAATATTAATTTTTTCTTACAATATTGCTTATTATAAAATTGAAAACTTATTTGCATTTCCATATGTTTATAAGTGAAACTATAAAATTACTTAATTATTTGTGCCGTTTGTCCAAGTGAAATCTCAAGTATCTAGAAGTATACTCTATGACAATTATGCAGTATAATTGACTCCTTCTTGTGATGCAGATGACCAGTATTGATTTGATTGCGTTGCCGTGATTTTCCATACAACTAGAATACTATTCTGACGTGTTCGACAAAATTTGCAGAAAAAGTATATAAAACATAATTCCCAGCACATTAGTGGAATTATTATCAGGGTGTATTTCTTTTATAGATGTAATTTTACAATAAAGTGTCTTTCAGAGATATACCAGTTGATAAGAAGGAAATTATTAATGTTTTTTATGTTAAAACGGAAGCACATTGTGTCGGATTTTGTCAAATCTTTAAGTTATATCTATACAGGATATTATACATCTCGATTTATTTGAATTCAAGATGTATTGATCATTCTATGAAGTCGGAGCATGCTGCAATAGTTAATTATCTTAAAATTTAAAACTTTGTTTTCATATTGAGTACTCAAGATAAATGTTTATTAAAACGAATTTGAAATGGTCCCGGCAAACGTGTAAGACACAAGAAAATAAAATAGCGTATGAGTTACACATGTCGAGTACAGAGCCATCATCGGTAAAAATACTAATAATAATTTCATCGTAAGGTGCTCAAAAATTAATTTACAACCATTTTCTAAGATGAGCAGAGCATAAATGGAAGACTACTGTATATTGCTAAAAGCTTAAGTTGAAATTGTAAAGCTACAATTTATCCACAGCGATGAATATCGCTTATGAAAAGCTGAAATCTATATAGTAAAACACGTAGATTTAACGCGTAACTGTTTACCGATCTATTCACCGATCTGCAGAAACATTTCCTGTACAAATCACGGCAAGTTAATATTTCTGTGGTAGTTCAACTGAGGACGATACTATGGCGCTACGAATACATTCCTAACATAACTCCCCTTTACAACTATATATGTCAAAATTAATTATTAATCGAATGTATGATAGAATAAAAAAGATTAGAAAAGATTTTTGCTAACATTTCCATTTTCTTTATAATTTAATAATAAATTGAATTCTGTTAAGTGTAATAGTTCCCTGAAAATGACAATTAAATTTATAAGTAATAAACAAAAAAACCTTATTTTTGGCTTTTCAAATATTCTGTCATAATAGCCTTTAAAGCATAATGTATATTTTTTTTCTACTTGACAGATGGTTTTTCGAACTTTTTCACAAGATCACCAACCCTTTGCAAATACTTTATTAGGAATATATACCTAAATTGTGTATCTATCTACTTCACTGATATTAATGAAATTACCATACGTTAATCAAATCTTGTTACTTTATAAATGATTTAACTAGCTAGTCCTTATTTTTATTTTTTAAATATTGTTTAGAAAGTACAAAAATAAAATTAAAGAAAATTAAATAAAAAATGAAAAAAGAGAAGAAAAAACATAAATTCTCAACATTTACGGAACGGACATTGTTTGCTTTAAACAACAAACAAAATCATAAGTTTTCTTCTAATGGAAGTAGAATCGTCCCAAACCGTGTAATATGTTTCTATCTCATATGTTTATAAAACGAGAGCAACTTGAATCATAGCTTTGTGCTCTGAGATCATATTTTAATGTTACTAGACGATTTTATATTCGCATTTCTGTGTTTCTTGTGTCTGAAACGAAATGATAGACCCGCCATCCTACTTACCTAAAGATCATCCTACTAATAAATTTAACTTAGGCGCCGTAATTCCAGGTACATAAGCCCTGGCTAATTATT